AACAGAGAGGGAGAAAAAAGAATGGAAGGAAGTTGGTCCCCTTGGATAGGGAAGCTTGCAAGAAGGAGTTTATATAGGTATGACAGAAATGTAGGTGACTGCTGAGACAAGGGAGAGAAGTAGAACAGCATGAAAAGTATCAATACCAATCTCGCTTCCACTCAGGAAAAATCTACTTAAACTCTTTCAGATGGCTTTCTCTGCTTTACCCCCACTGAGGTCACACACACACACACACACACACACACACACACACACTTCTCAGCAGACATTTAGAGACTTCTCATTGTACGGAGTATACACTCAACAAGCACTTTAGGAACACCTGTACACTTGCTTATTCATGCAATTATCCAATCAACCAATCGTTTGGCAGCAGTGCAGCGCATTAAAATCATAGAGGTACAGGCCAGGAGCTTCAGTTAATGTTCATATCAAACAGCAGATTTGGGGGGTGGGATGTGTGTGTGTGTGATCTCAGTGATTGTTGGTGCCAGACAGGCTGGTTTGAGTATTTATGAAACTGTTGATCTCCTGGGATTTTCACATAGTCTCTAGAATTTTTACTGAGAATGGAGCCAAAAGCAAAAACCCCTCCAGTGAGCAGCAGTTCTGGAGACAGAAATGCTTGTTGATGAGAGAGCTCAGAAGAGAATGGCCAGACTGGTTGGGGCTGACAAAAAGGCTTCGGTAACTCAGATAACCACTCTTTACAACTGTGGTGAGCAGAAAAGCATCTCAGTATGCACAACACATCAAACCTTGACGCTAGGCCTTAAGACCATGGTGGGTTCCATTCCTGTTGGCAAAAAACAGTTAATTTGAGGCTGTAGTGGACACAGGCTCAACAAAACGGGACAGCTGAAGACTGGAAAAATGTATCCTGGTCTGATGAATCTGGATTTCTACTGACGCACACAGATGGTATGGGGTCAGAATTTGGCCTCAACAGCATTAATTCATGGACTCAACCTGCCTTCTCTGCTGTTGGTGGTGTGATGCTGTAGAGAATGTTTTCTTGGCTCACGTTGGGCCCCTTAATACCAATCAATCATGGTTTGAATGCCATAGCATAAAAGCATATCTCTTTACGGCCACGGTTTACCATTTTCTAATGGCAACCTCCAACATGACAATGCACCATGTCACAAAGCAAAAAAAGTCTCAAACCGGTTTTTATGAATTCCTCACTCACCAGATCTGAATCCAGTAAAACATCTTTGGAATGTGGACAAACGGAGGATTTACAGCATGAATGTGCAGCTGACAAATCTGCAGAAATGATTTGATGCAATCATGTCGACGTGGACCATAATCTCAGAGGAATGCAGAGGGAGACCCTACCCAATATTAGTATGGTCTTCGTAATAAAGTGCTTACAGGTGTATGTGCTTTGATTAGCTGAAAATGTGATTGTGGAGTGAAACAAATGGACTTACTATGATGAGTGACTTAGGCTATTTCACTATATTTCATTTAGCAATTGTCTGTTTTTCTCCAAAATGCAGGTTTCAATGCCTTCTCAAATGTCTTTTTTTTCCTCTACCAGAATAGAGCTGTAACCCTCAAGTAAGAGATATAATGGAGTGCTGAGCTGTTTGGAGGGTTGAACACACTAGAAATGAAATCAATGGTTTCTTTGTGTGGTTGTGTGACAGAGAAAATGGGTGGAATTACACTTGCTTGTGCAATTATATGAGTCAGAGATATAAAACAGACACACATAGACAGAGAACAAGAGAGTGAGCTGCAAACACTGAAAGTGAAAGAATATTGTTGAAGTTGCACTTTCTTCTCGATTAATCACTTTTCTTTTTCACCTTATCCTTGAATTATGGCAGAAATACACGAGACGTGGTTCCACAATCTTGATCTAAAACTAGGCTGACAAAATAAATTTTCGAAAATACATACAAGATATTAATCAAGTGAGAAGGACACCGCCGATCCTCAGGCTACGGTGGTGATTGATTTGTGCTGACTGATTGATTGATTTAGTTCAAACAAGTAGTGAGTTGGCATTTACTGACACTCTTGAAGAAAATCTGTGCTGACAAACCCTATCATTCAAGCACCTTTAAGACACTACCGATTAAGTCAGTCGCCGCAGACACACACACACTCATGCATGCTCAGGCCCTCGTCACGCATACATACATAAGGCACAGAAGTCTTCCATCCCTCTAGAGGATAACACATTAAGTTTTCTGTCTGTCATCATCCTGAGTGAATACTTTCTCTCGGGGGGACAAAGCCCCTTGTTTGCCCATGGACAGAAATTAGCTGTTTCATCAAAAACCTTCACACTGAGTCATTCCATGTTCAATATGACCAATATTATTGCTCTCCAAGTGTTCCTCCAACCTCAGTCTTTTTTTTTCAGTCTCACAACAATTCTGCTCAATCTAAGTTTATATAGATTTTCAGAGCCAGACAAGACAGAGATATTTTTCCATTAAAGTGCTCTGGAGTGTTTTGTTTCTCCAGGAACCTCTCTCCCGCAATTGAAATGATCTTTTGCTGATTATAATTTCTTCTCCCTTTTTATAATGGCCTTGAATGTAAAAAATAAATCTGCTGCAGTTGTTGGTTGTTCAGATTAAGAGCTGTTAGACTACATTTGTTTAACAGTATCACGGCTTGTTGCATCACAAAGACATGCCAGACATGAGTTTTTTGGGATGTAAAAAAAAAGTCATGTTTCCCAAGTCTAAAATGTCACACTCAGATGCTAACCAGACCTGAGGCTGTTGATTTCCCAGCTGTACAGGGTGCTGTGCTGCCGGGGGGAAGAGGTGTGGGTGTGACACTGGATGGAAAAAAAAAAAAATGCGTCTGCTGTAGCCTGCATTTGGCAGCTGCTCCTTTAAGCTCACACACAAACATGCACGCACATCAATCTCTTCTGTCACACTATCCCTGCTTGTCACCATGGTAACACCCTAAAGCTACAGCTGTCTGATGGAAGATTGACTTTAGACAGGAGTAACTTGCTGTGAATTGTGAATTTTGGCCTACATATTGGCATAGGCCGGCACATACACACATGAAAAGGTGAAAAGGTGGTGAGTGTTTCATCCCTTTGAGACAATTGTAATGGTGGTATTTATTCTGAATAATGCTATTCATTTGCCATTTATTCTGAACTGATTCTTCTCTTCTCTTCTCTTGTGAGCCCCTGCTTTAACAAACCCCCTTAGACATGTGCCAGGTATGTCTTTCCTGAGCCGCAGTTTGTGGTAGATGTCCACATTTGAAACAGGTTTGTATTGATCTGGGCTGAGAATGGGACAGGAGATTGATCGTAATGTGTGGCAGACCTATTTCCTAAACTCTTAAGCCTGCCTTTCTAAGAATGCCTCAGGTCAGACAGAGAAATAAACTAATGAAAATTACCTTTTTGCAATGGCCTTAAAAAATCATTGCATGAAGCAGTCATGTAAGCGACTTCCTGAAATAGCAGAGAAATGGAAGGGAAGCTCTGAAGAACATTAGCTAAATTATTAAGTCTTCCTTTATCCAAATGAAAGGTCTTTGGGTTTGATAATCCCCTGTTCTAAATGGATAACATTTGATTGAGATGTTGTATTCACTACTATCTCTGTATCTGGCTGGGTGCTGCGATGCATAAAGAACAGATACTGACGATTCACAACCAATCAAAGAGAGATTCAAATCATTCCGTGGAAAGAGCGTTAACTATGACAGTATGTCAGGCCATGTTTATTCAAAACAGCGTGTGTGTGTGTGTGTGTGTGCGTGCGTGCGTGCACGTGTGTGCGTGTGGGTGTTTGGGTGTGTGTGTGGTTTTGAGACAAACAGAGAGACAGACAGGGTGAATTGATAATCTCATATCTCATATAATTTTAGACTTTGATAAACAAAAATATACTAGACCTATGCGTGGTATGCATGCAATAATGTAATAACACTTAATTGAAAATAACATAAACATGAAGTAAATTTATCACAATTAAAATCAAAGCTTCAATGGTCATATTACACTAAGAGGTGAGCTGTTAAGAAGGTCTGGCCTGGAACACTTTGATATACTTCAAAGCAACTGAGCTTTGAGCAAAACCGCAGGTGCAAAAATAAAGCTAAATTATTACCATTCAATTAATTGCTGTCTCCTATTTTCATATACAGAGGAAATAAGCATCATCACTAAATAAAAAACACAATTTGTTTTGTAGATTGTTGTCATTTTAGTTTGATGAATGTTTAAAAAATAGCAATGTCAAAGAACTGACAGAGAGACACGAGTCATTAGTCTGGTTGAAAAAAAAAAACCTCATCACTTCTAAGCTTCCTTGCAGATGAAAGAAAAGGTGTGTCTCAGCTTTTTTTTTATTTATGAGTGTTTTACCAGTGTTGCTGTAGTCACTAGAGTTACTAAGTTATCTCATTTATCATAGATTCATCTCATTCCTGCTGCGCAATATATCACCATAACTCACCTGTATTCAAACCCCTCATCAGATTTATCACAGTTAGTTCAGAAGGGTTTGTATAGCACAGCTAGTGTCTCCATGTGTTTTAGAATGAGTGTCAAAGAGAACAGGGCTAGGGGCACATTTATTGGCTACAAAATTAAAAAAAGAAAAACGATAATGTGTTATTATGACTAATTGTGTTATTGAATGGATTTCATAAGCAAATGTGCTATTGTGCGATTATTTCCCTTGAAGATTGCATTCATTTAAAAAAATGTGCCTGCTGTTTTAGAATTAATCATAAACTTGCTGTGTGAAATGCAGATGGTTTGTGGTGTAACAAAAATGTCTCTAACAGCATCAAGAAACTTTGATTCTGCAATAAAAAAGGCTAAAAAGGCTATATCATTGAATTTGATGATATAGTTACAACAGGAGAGTCGATATGTCTGTAGATATGTAAATACAACTGCAATTACCAATCATGAAAAGTCAAAGTATTGATCTGGGAAACAAATTCCTACCTTTTCAAATAATCAGCTTTCTGGATTGATGTGAAAAAAAGGTTTATTAAGCAAAGTGACCTGTAAAGACAAAGCAAAGGCAGATAGGACTAGCTCAGTCAACAGTAGGGGTGTCAGACTGCGGACTTTGAGGGGCTGAATGTGTCCCAGGTTTTCATTCCAGCTGGAGACAACACCACAGGATGTAATGGCACATCGTCTGGCACGCCGGCTCAATAGAAGAACAGTCTATTCTTCTTTATAAAAGCCAGAGTTACTAAGAGCAAGATTTGAGAAGAAAGAGGCTTCAGTCTGTTATGCTTTAATCACAGTAGAAGTCCATGCCCTGAAAGAAAGGCAAAAAACAAAAAACAAAATGCTAAATAAAATGAGATACTGTAAGTGTTGACCGCCACCTATTACTCCAAAAAAGGAAAAGAGAATGAGTAAAAAAGATATCCTATAAAATGGATGAAAATACTCACAGTTGTGGGAATCTTAACTGTGTCTTGTGTAAACTTGTGGGTCTCCTTCAGCACAGTTGCAGGGAAGTATCCAATGATGCCCATCTGGTCCACATACCGCTCGCTGTAAACCTGCCAGTGAAAATAACATGGCCTCTCTGAGAAATTAACAGGCATCACATTGTATATGCTGTAAGCATTTAACCTTCCTTACTAAAATAAACATGATTTAAATGCTTGTTCATTTGAGATACAATGAAATATTAACCAAAGACCGGAAAGTTCACATTTGTTTGTCCCAGCTGCTGCACATCCTCTGTGCCTTTAGTAACTGATTGCAGGTGTACAGTGCTACACTGCTAAATAACACGTAACAAAAATATGCACATACACTTCCAGACCAGAAGACTCCAGCGCCCTCCTCTGGTACGAGTTTAGAATACACGTAAACCATCTGACCCTTCTTGATGTTGATGAATCTGCAGTCAGGAGCAATGAAGTCATCCAAGGCTGTGGCCATGGAGAGAACATCTGATAAAGCACAGAAAAAAAAAGAGGAAAGGGAAAAACATACAATGAAAAACCCAAATATTTTAAGAGTTAACAAACACATTGCATTTTATTGCATGATTTTAATACATAATGCATTTCAGGACACATTGCATGCTCTCTCATGCTTCTCTTTCATGTTGTGACTTACGTGAGCATTCTGCATCTCCACAAATCTTGTTGTCTGCTAACTTATCCATGATGACGGCCCTCGCAGTCTGGTGCAGTAGTCCCACACAGAGGAGGATCACCAGTGGATAACTCATGCTGGCCAAAAGAGTAGAACCAAGGGAGTGTTGTGTGTGTGCGTGTGGATGTGAATGTGGACGTTTGATGGAACTTAAGGCTGTAAAAATCCCAAAACACTCAGCCAGGACTGAATGGGCTGAGCCCCTGCATCAGAGGTCGGCTGGCCAATCAGTGTTGAGTTTCTTTCTGGAACTATTCATTTCCCCACAAGGGAGTTGACTGACTTTTTTTTTTTTTTTAACTACTCAAATCTTAGTCTCTCTGCGGGAACAAGCAGTCACAGTTCATGTGAGCTGTGTCTTGAGCTCTGTAAACTTCATGTGTACAAACACAACATGGTGTTCTTTCAACAGGTCTTTGAGTGAGTCGCATATTTTTGGACAGACTAAAAAGTCCTGTGGAATAAGCAGTGTAATAACTTCCAACATATTTTATGTAACTACAAATATAATCTATAGATCGTTTTGTGTAAAAGTACAACTAATCTAAAATAACTGGAAAATGTTGTGCTGACTTACATTCAGCTCTGATGATCCTCTCATGTCACTCTAAGGGCTTGAGATAAAATATATGTCAAACTAAATAATTTAAATAGAAAAATTAGAAATTGCAGACATAAAGATTTAAAAATAAACAAGCCCAGGTACAGAGATTACAAGAAATCCCTCTGTACAGGATGTTGGGAAGTACACTACTTGAGCCTGAAGAGCATAAGAATGATACCACCATTAACGACACATATGTGAATAACACGAGGAGCAAATGTAATGGAATGAAGTTTGCTGGTGACAGCTGTTTCCCCTTGAAATCTAGCTTAGATCTGACTTTAACACATTTGCAAAACAAAGAGTCTTGAATAAACATTTGCAAAATAAAATGGAACCAAACTTAGTCTAAGTAACATTTTCAAAAAGTCTGCACAATTAGGAAATGGTTTAACAGACTAATGGAGTGAGACCCACTTTCAAATGGTGTCAAAAACTATGGACATTTTGCATTACAACCCTCCATGTCCTCTCAAGTAGCCTGAAAAAGTTTGGACCCGTATAGGAGTCATATTTACAATCAAACACCTGATGGCACTCTTGTCCCCTAGCTGTGGTCAATAGATTGCACTACTCAGAATTCTGTTTAGTTGGTTGTTTTTGCGAAGTGAAAAAAATGATGTTCTGGCATAACCAAATATTTGTTATGTGTTTTTGTGGGAATTCCATGGGCTAATACTTTACTGTAATGCTGTATAATAGATTAGGTAGAGGCATAGGCCTATTGGTGGAAAAGCCAATATAAACTCAATACTGAGGAATAATAACTTCAGTCTTTAAAGATGCAATGAATACTTTAAAGAAAGCCACATCAAACTGGTTGCAATGTCTTGTTGGCGAAATAATGAAGCAAAACCTTATAATACGCCAGGTATCATTTGTGGCTATTAATTATTTTTTTATTATACCACATTGCTGAATATGAATATACAATTGAAGAAGTATTCTCCTTTAAAGCCTCTAAATACTACCGTATAGGTCAAATTCTATTCAAGGATCTATATGTCTAAGTCGGTGATTTATTTTTCGCCTTGTTGCATCAGATTTTGTGAACGATAAGCTTTCTAAAGTCTTTGTAAACAAGCATGTAATTATTTCCTTTTCCAACTGAGGGAAAGCACTGCAAAACTGTATTTGTGTGTGTACGCTATTATAACCTAGGTGGCTAGGCGGGCGGTATTTAAACCGACATACAATCTCGCGGAAGCCAGAAAGCAAAGAGAACCGCCCGCTTACGCTCTACGGCTGTTTAAATCAAGCACATCCTTGGACATCTAGGGCTGTGACGTAAGCACGCTGTCAACTCAAAGCGATAGCCTCGGACGGTGCTGTTATTGTTCGGTTTGAAGAGTTTGGGGGTGGTCGGTGCTTTGGTTTTACTTTAGGGGGCCGTAAGCTACCACTGGCAGGCAATTACACTCAAATGCAAACACCTGCTGGCCTAGGTCAGGATACATTTTAGCGACATAGCATCACATTTATCCAGGTAGTGGTAAGCTAACAACTTAGGTCCCAAAGTAGCTGATGGATGCGCGGGTATCGGACTTATTCGGCTCAGGAAATGGACACGGCTCTGGATCTCCAGGTGTCGCCTCTAACGTCAAGCCGGGAAATGGCCATGGCGTAGCTCCCAAAAAGGCTGGTGCTAAAAACAAGAAATCAAAAGCTCGATTCTCTCGCACCTTCAAACCAAGCAATAACACCCCATATCTACCTCCAGAGGTAAGGAAGAAAATACGCGCACAATTTCCGCTAGCGCAGCATTATTTACGACCCAAAGCAATGTTCGCTAATAACAATGCTAACTTAAATTGATGTTTGTATGCATGTTGTGATGTGTGAGTAATAACGTAGATGTCGTAGCATTCCCTGCCGTCGGAGTGAGCCTGACTCCTATTTGAACTTGCAGTGACACGTAGCTAGTCGGGAAACAAAACGGAAAATGAATGAGATGCTTACATTCGGCTAACATTAGCAATCTAACATTTGATGTTAAATTAACAGTTTTCACAGTAGTTTTAACAACACCAAGCCAATGTGTGTTCAGTGAAAAGCTGCTTGCTATAGCTGGCTGGTGTTTTACTAGCTAGCAGAAGAGGAACAGCTGTGTTTGTAAATATCTAGCAGGGGGCGGGGGTATCCTCGGTCAACCCATCTAGCTAATGTTATTACAGTCTCTGACATATACTCAGCGAAGGAATGTTTTTTACACTGTAACGAAAGATTACTTAGATTTTTTTTTTTTTTTATGTTTTTTTTTATTTTTTATTTTTACAGTTGTTGCCTAAACTGAAACTGCCAAATAAAAACCGTTTAGGTTCAGGATTGAATTGTGTTTTTAACAATAATTATTAACAATATAGGTTAATGCAGGCATCCTAGATTAAATTTTAAAGAGATTAGCAATAATCACCACGGTCAAAAACTCCTGCCCTGTTAATGGACAAGTCTCAACATATCCCATGGCTTCAGTTGTTGTTTTAGATGATCTCTAGCATGTAACCAGCTCCACTCTCTTTTAGTGATGATAACTGTTTGTATACATTTGAGATATCTGTCACACTTGTAGGAGTAGTGACTAGTTAACTTTAAATATATATTGACTTCTCCACACAAATTTATTTTGTCTTATATCACATTAAGTGGCTATGTATTAAGGCAAGTAAAGCAGTTAGTTGGTTTGTATAGCTCGCAGTGACTACCTATTCACAGTAGTGCACTGACTGCTCATTCAGTCAGATTGCCTTTCTTTGTGTCTTTTAACAAATCAATAGCTTGTTGTTTCACTTCTCTGTAGTCTGACAGCCGTTGTTTCTGTTCTGTCTCTGTCTGTCTCTCTTTGTTTCTCTCCCTGTCTCTTAGGCTGAAGAGGGAAATATAGAGTACAAGGTAAGCAAATTAGCTGCCATGTCATGTAAAGGACCTTGTTGTGTTCAAAGGATATTTTGGTTTCCTTCAGAATGAGCTAGTTGCTTTATTATAACAACGCCTCTCTAGGCCAATCATCATTATAATAAGCTTCCAGTAATATATAGGTAGTATGTCAGAATATTTAAGTGCAGTCTCACATGGTCTCCGATGGAAAACCAACACTCCATTGGATTAGCAGGAGCTTTTTTAGTCTGCGAACAGCTGCTTCCCACATCATATCAACATAGCCTGTATAGAAGATATTTATTGCCTCAGTTCTAAAGTAATCCCCTAAAATGCTACTTATTTGCATCAGAATTATTTAATCATTGACTAGACCCATTTAACTGTCCATGATCAAGGTTTAAGTTCATCACTAATGTCTAAAGTCTCTCTCTCCCACAGCTGAAGCTGGTGAACCCCACGCAATACCGCTTTGAGCACCTGGCAACACAAATGAAATGGAGACTGCAGGAGGGCCGAGGCGAAGCTGTCTATCAAATAGGTGTTGAGGATAATGGCATGCTGGTGGGACTATCAGAGGAAGATATGAGGGCATCACTGAAGACACTCCATAGGCTTGCAGAGAAGTAAGTGCAGAAAGTGTCTTTATTTACTTTTTATTTAGACATTACATCTATTATCCCAGTTTTACAGTCAGCTATTCCCCCTTAAGCCTAACCAAAGTAATGGTAAACAAAAAATGTCAGTCTTTAGAAAGCATAAGTGGAAATTTTGTAATTACACAATTCAAATACCACACTTTTTTTCTTTTTTTTCCTTTGCTTTATTTGACAGAGTTGGAGCTGACATCACTGTTCTCCGAGAGCGAGAGGTTGACTATGACTCTGATGAGCCTCGTAAGATTGCTGAAGTTCTCATTCGCAAGGTGCCAGATGACCAGCAGGTTAGTGAGGCTACTCTGAAGGCATGCTGCTTTTTGGCTGTTGTTATTTTGCTGCTGATCTGTTCATTTTTAAATTATCAGCCTTTTTCTAAATTCATTTTTTCCCATGGTATTTTTCCCACAGTTCTTGGACTTGCGAGTAGCTGTACTGGGTAATGTGGACTCAGGCAAGTCCACTCTGTTGGGTGTTTTGACACAGGGTGAGCTGGACAATGGACGTGGAAGAGCGCGGCTCAACCTCTTCAGACATCTTCATGAGATCCAGACTGGACGCACTTCAAGCATCAGCTTTGAGATCCTTGGCTTCAACAGTAAAGGAGAGGTGAGAAAAGATCCATCTCCAGTGAAGATGTGTACACTAGTTATATACTAATATATAATATTTTGTCAAAAATATCAGTATAAGTTAATAAATTATGTTATGTTTATTACCACACTGTTTCCTTATTGAGATGTTCCAATAGATGAGACAAGAAAATATGGTTTTTCGTAATGATGTAAAGAGGAAAGAAAGTTTCGCACAATGTAATGTTAATGCAGCAACGTATTATTCATTTAACTACTGCATCGGCAAGTGACTTGTAACTGTTATCTCGCCTGACCTATACTTTCAAAGTAATAACTGAGGAATATGTTGCTGTTGCTTTTCTCTTAGGTTGTGAATTATAGCGAGTCTCGAACAGCAGAGGAGATTTGCGAGAGTGCCTCTAAAATGATCACATTCATTGATCTGGCGGGTCACCACAAGTACCTAAAGACCACCATCTTTGGCCTCACCAGCTACTGTCCAGATTTCGCTATGCTGGTCGTGAGCGCAAATACTGGCATTGGTGAGTATTGATTGATTGATTAATTAAATTTTCTGCTTATTTGATAAGAAGTTGCACAACATTGTAGGTCAGTTAAAATGTACTCGTGTCTCTATGTGTACTTTTTCCAGCCACTCACTTGACTATTCAGATAAGAGAAGTTGAAAGTAGCTCTGTCACAGGGACAATGGCTTGTTATAGACTTGCAGGGCCAGTCTGACAGCAAGCCTATGTTTGTGTACACCACACCTCCAGACTGTAGTAGTAGGCTTGACCAGCTTTGGGGTAGCACTTTGCAAATGTGATATCTGAGCTTATGTAACACACCACCCTCCCAACCACAGCCGCTTTACCCCCCACCCCCTCAATCCTGCCTGCCACTACTTGTCTCAAAATATCTCAAATACCATCCATTCATATCAGAGTCCTCTGACCCACTAGAGGTAGTTCTGTGGTTGATCTCGTGCAGATTTGGAAAACCTGACACCTGTACATGGGTAAGTAAGCTACTGTGTATGTCAGCACTGCTAACTTTGCAGAAAGGACATAGGACATCTAAGTGAAGTTATGCCCCAAATACTTGCAGACTTTAATCTTTGCATAGGAGTAAGGCCTGTTGATTTCTGAGATGAAATAGGCTGATTTTTTTTTTTTTCTTTTTTAAATGAAGCAGATCAATTTAGACTGCATTCCACTCACATTTCAAGTTTTTGTGTTTCCTGCTACAAGAAGATCCTTGTAGCAGGAAACCACACAGTGTTTACCTCGTGCTCTGGTGGCGAGACAGAGTGTGAGAAGCTTGTACAACAATACTGAGATCAAGGAATGACATACATTGAAACCTGAGCTGTTTAAACTGGTGGGACAGGCAGTTCTTTGCTTGTGAAGATATATTGTTTGATTACTTTTGTTCCTGTGAAGGATGAACAAAATTGTCTTTAGTTTGTAGGATTATAGTAAAAAAAAATTTTTTGTCAGAAGTGGGATTCGAACCCACGCCTCCAGAGGAGACTGCGACCTGAACGCAGCGCCTTAGACCGCTCGGCCATCCTGACATGTCAACACAGCTGTTAACTCTGTCACATGACTGGGAGGAGGAGGGGTTTTGACAGCAAGCAAGTGGGCCCAGATAAGAACCCCCTGATAAAACCTTGTGACCTTCTCTAAAGAATATCTGTTTTTGCTGCACTTTTGAAAGTAGTAGGTGTAAATAACATCATATTATGAGGAAATCTATACCTTTGCTTTCCTTTTGGAAATGGCAAGGAGGCATGTGGAAGAAATATGAGCCCTGGAGACAACACTGGTTACTTAACAATCCAACTCACAGCCTTCTAGAGTTATTAGGCAAACTAGAATCAGCTGCTGTTAATGTATAGCTCCTAGTTCTTTTGTAAGTCATTTTGAAAACACACACATCACTGAAACCCAGGTCCTGTGTTTGGGAATTTGGTAGAAAACTTTTATTTCTAAACAATGTTATCTTAAAGTGTTGAGTTTTCCTCACCACTAAAAACAGCCAAATTATTAACAAGGAAACATAAGTAATGATTTCTGCCAGTATTTGACTTAGTAGATAAACAAGCAGCAGAAGGCTTAAGAAAATCCAAGGCACAGCCAGAATATAATTAAAAAGTTTTTGAAACTGCTATGACTGGTTTGTTTTTACTGTTTTCAGGCATGTGAAGAAAGACCAATCTGTTGTTAGGGTACCTTTGACCTGGATGTGTCCTTCAATAAAAAAGGAGTATTTTGTTTCATAATCATTTAGTAGTATTGGCTACCTCAAAAAGAAAATTACACCCACTGCTGTGAAAACTGGTCATTAAAGTAATTATAATATATATATAAAAAAAACATTACAATCATCTCCCTTAAGCAAAAACACATTTAGTCCTAATGTTTAAAAAGGTGGTAAGTAATAAACACACTCATTAAAACATTTTAGCCTTATCTGGTATAAAAAGGCATGGATATGAAACCAAAACAAGACAGGGGTTATTTGAAAATAGGTTTCAAAGACGCTACAATCTGAAGTCTGAGAATGAAGCACAACCTGCAATGCTACACATCTTTTAAAGACTACAGCGTAATACTCTTTAATTCATATGGATTTATGTGTGATTCTCTGTACTCGTACTGTAGTCATTGCTGTGCTTGTGGTTGTCTGTTCTAAAGTGGGGCATGCTGGGGGAAATGGGGTCAAGAATGAGGACCACCATAGCTACGCAGCAGACAGAAAGGGGACATAGCGTCTGCAACCCGAAGAGCTCCAGCTTTAATTATGAAACAGAGTAATGGATCTGTGTAAGACATAGGCCTCGTCTTGGGTTGTATCTGTGACAAGCCAAAAGCCCCAGGGGGAGGGAATCTTCTCGTACCATTCTGTAATACATTAAATATTTTTGACACTTCCTCTTCACACATCATTATTTACACAAGACGAGGAACGTTGAATTTTCATTTGCACTGTTACTTTGGATGCATAGAAAATAACACAACTGGCAAAACGATCTGCAGCTCAGCTGACAAGGGGTCAGGGTATTTTGAGTCTCTGTAAATGTGTTATGGGTCAGTACCCTTGAACCCCCTGATTATGTAGGCTTATTGGAGACCTATATCCTATATCTGAGACATGATCTACTATACATATATATCGCTTTTTCTCACGTGCTGGCTCTGTTTACAAAGAAACATGATCCACCAGGCATGTATGAGATCACCCGGTTTAGAGTGGGTCTTACTTGGCATTCTGGATAGCCTAAGCATCAGTGATATAATTACTGTATGTGGTTGAATATTTCCTACCCTGCTATCCTATCTACTTCCTCTGATGCCATAATATTCATACGTCATGGGAAAGTCTACCTGGCCTTATCAGTTCGCTTACGTGGTTTCTTGACCCTCAGACTGACATTAGGTCACAGCTTAAAGATAAGCAATGTTATCTTAGGTCACAACTGTCCTTAACTGTGAACTGAGGGCTGCTATTGTGTTTGTACGCAAGGTTTCTTTCTCTGCCTCTGACTCAGTATTGTATTTGATATCCTGAGTATCATATGAAGCACTGTCTAGTCATGTTATTTCCATATACATCAAATAAACATTGGAGGTTTGAAGGCATTACTTTGTGCATCAATACTGTGCACGCTACCAATGTTTGTTTAAGGAAGTGACTTTATCCCTTCTTGCTTATTTAATGCAAATTTCTCTGGATAGGAGCATCATATTGAATACATCAAATAAACATGGCCTTTTTGAGCTTGCATGTGAAAGCTTTTCATGTGAAGCAGTTCAAGGCACGATGTAACTGATATGTAACTGACATCCTCTCCTTCTCACCAATATCCAGCTGGAACGACACGGGAGCATCTTGGGTTGGCCATGGCCCTGAAGGTGCCCATCTTCATCGTCATCAGTAAGGTGGACCTGTGTACACGGGCCACTGTGGAGCGCACAGTGCGGCAGTTGGAGCGTGTCTTGAAACAGCCGGGCTGCAACAAGGTGCCCATGGTTGTAAGCAGTACGGACGACGCCGTCACAGCAGCACAACAGTTCGCCCAGTCACCCAAGTATGAAATAACTACATATACATAAGTAAATGAGTTTATGAACCTGATTCTATTTAATGCTGTGTAATGTTGTGTAGTTAGTTCTGTTATAACAGAACAGGGCAGAAACTAGCTGATGATGTGTGATATGTCTGTGTGTGTTTGCGTGTCCTGATTATGTGTTTGTGCTCTCCCTGGTAGCATCACACCCATCTTCACCCTGTCCAGTGTGTCTGGAGAGAGTCTAGACTTGCTCAAGGTCTTCTTCAACATCATCCCTCCTCTTAGCAACAGCAAAGAGCAGGAGGAGCTTATGCAACAGCTAACTGAGTTTCAGGTAGGCCTGAGATGAAGCGTGTTTTAGGCACATCACATTCCTCCTCATGCAGCATAAATATATAAAGTCTTTTGACGCTGTGTTTGACAGCAGTGTACATCCCATTACAGGTGGATGAGATCTACACAGTGCCAGAGGTGGGGACTGTGGTGGGAGGTACTCTGTACAGGTCAGTGTGTTTAAATGCTTACTTCATGTTCTTCCATTCAGCTTGTGTTTTTTTGTTTTTGTTTAGCATGGACTCTCTCTGAGTCACTATTATCTTTGATTGTGCAGTGGTATTTGCCGTGAGGGAGATCATCTTGTAGTAGGGCCCACAGACTCGGGCCAGTTCCACAAGTTGACCATCGGGAGCATCCAAAGGAACCGCTCGGCATGCAGGGTACTCAGGGCCGGCCAGGCTGCCACACTCGCCTTGGGAAACTTCGACCGATCACTACTACGCAAGGTTAGTCACTTTATGTTTGTGCCAAATTTAACTAATTCATTTATTATCTAAAATTATTCTAACTCGTATTCTTCCTCTATACCTCTCAGTATTTAGAGGAAGTGTGTTCCTCGTATTTTCATGAAAATAAATGACTGATTTGGTGCTCACCCATTTATATGGAGAAAGTAGAAGATATCAGTAGTTAGCATAATGTAGCAGACAGAAACTCAAAAAGTTTCTTCACATATATATTTTTAATATTATGTAGGTCACTATAACCAAAGAACATGTTACACACTGAATTCTAATCTATTTGTGTACAATGTCTTGTGTGTGTTTTTGCACTCACAGGGTATGGTGATGGTGAGTCCGGAGATGGATCCTACCATCTGCTGGATGTTTGAGGCTGAGATTGTGCTGCTCTTCCATGCCAAGACCTTCCACAAGGGCTTCCAGGTTACTGTGCACATTGGCAATGTGAGACAGACAGCCACTGTGGCAGCTGTGTATGGCAAGGTTAGTTCATCCACTTAGCTACAACTGTCTGAAAATTGCCCTCTATTTCTAAAACCTGGGCTTGTTATATCCCAATGTGTTACCTTAAGCAGATGATGTCCAACTATTCTTTGATTTGTTTTATTCTTTTTTTTTTTATTCTTATGCTACATCATTGTACCACAGGAGGAGCTGAGGACGGGAGAGAAAGCAGTGGTTCTCTTCAAGTTCATCAAGCACCCAGAATATCTGAAGGTAGGAGCTAAGGTGCTTTTCAGAGAGGGCGTGACCAAAGGTATCGGCCACGTCACCAAGTTGCAGCCCATTGCCCAGTACCAGCCATCCCAAAGCGAGGATGAGGAAGTCTGAAGTTTTTCAGACAACCACAACAGAAAACACCGTCCCACCCCAAAACAAGGTGCTTTATAAACCCCTCCTGCTCTCTCCAAAGGCTACTCTCCCACGTTCCCTGCACAGTAAACCCCTTTCACAGGATTTTGTTGTGTTATCACCTTTTTCTAAAGCCTTGTTGTCACCTTCTTCATCCTTTGTCCTCTCCAGCCTTTTAAATAGCTGATGATATTTTAGTCTGTTTTCTGGTGAGGTTTAAAGAGTGTGGCTTTTCATGGCACTGATAAGAGGAAATTCTCCAGCCACCTCTGTAACACATTCAAAGCAACATCTACCAAAGTGATATTGAGTGTCAAGAACACATAGTTGCAATGCACGGATCAATAAGTGGCAACTAGGAATATCTATGTTGAAGTGCTGCCTGCACAGTTTACACCTAAATGCACTACCTAACACACTTCAAAAAAGATGCACACACACTTGCACTGAAACATAAATGCCAGTGTTGATATACCTTTGGCAGATAATTGTTTACAAACTCAACAGCTGCAAGTATGAGATGCTTGAACATTAAGGTATTACCTGTATCACCAATGTCATTGTTGTCATCACCTCACAGCAGCTTGTCTGTGATACCAGCACAGTGCCTGACTAATAAGGACAAACCTCTGATCTCACTGTATTTGAATACTCTTACATCAATATCCTTTTCTTAGTAACTACTAATGAATTGTGTGAGATAGTGTAGAAGCAACAAGATGCATTTGTGGTTCTCAGACACATCTTGTCAGTCGTATATAAGCTTAGCCATCTTGCTTCAAGCTACTATTACTGACACAGGCACTTTATGAAGGTAAAGGAGAGCATTGCGAGGTATGCAAAGATAGAACTTGACCCAGTTTGTATGTCGGCCTGCCAAGCTAACTCACATTGGCAATCACCTTATAACTGTCACATTTGTCTGTGAGAATTCTGTTTTTTTTTTTATTTTATTTTTTTTTTATTCACAAATAATGCCTCACGATAGTGCAGTGAGATGGTAATGATCTCGCTGCCTATCTTTTAAGTGCTTTAGTTACTCAGGTCAGTGTCAATATTGTATTAGACAGCATTCCACTCTCACAGAAGTACTTCAGCGAATGTTTCTGTTGCTGACTTGGGGGTGAGGGGTGTCTCCCAAAGAGATGTGTTTGATTATGCATTATATAGTATGTGAAGCTGCCAACTGATGCAGCTTTGTTTAAAAGCAATTGTTTGTGGTACTTGATGTCGTCTCTTCACTTAAGTTACTGATGACACTAACTTTGAAGGGGTTTAACACAGTGCCTAATGGGGCTACCGTTTGAGTAGCCTTCCATTATACCCCAAAGTTTTACAACTTAGTAAACAAGAACATCTACTTAAGTCGGTGCTACTACTAGAAACAGTTTTTAATATCTAGAAGACGACTTTGAAAATGAATGTTAATTGCTACTCTGTTTCAGGCTGTTGGCCTTACCATCTGTTTTATCATTGCATGTTGATGTGATTTATACACACATTGTTGTCCCACTTACATCAGTGATACTGAGGACAACTGAAATGTCTGCCCTGTTTTGTTGCACCCACGTTGTTGTGCACAGTTTGTGTGCATTCAAAGATGGGAAAATTTAGAAAGCATTTCAACCAAAATATTTTATAGCATTTATGAAGTTATATCAGGGGTTAAAGTTTGTTTTAATGCATCTGAGAAGTATTTTATAGATTTCTAGAAGTTCTCGATTTTACAATTCATCCAAACACCTTTTTCACCGTTGCAGTCTTCTTAATCACACCAACGCAGCTTCACTTTTTTGAAATCACATTAAGACCTGTGTTCCTTTTAACTGAATTTTGATCATTATTTGGGTGAAATGCAACATTTATGTACAGATCCAATTTGTGTATCATGATGTACATGAATAAAACCTTTATTGTCTCTTTAGCAGATGTTTCATTTTGTTGTCTTTTAAGTAAAACAGAAAGTTACTCAATATTTTCAACCATGTAATACATCCAGTGAGCCATGACTCACAACACATGATAAAGTTTTATTTTCCTGCTACAGCTCCTCCTTATCTGCTCTCTAGCTGATGCAAGACAAGAGTAATTTACTCATTCAGCTGCCTTTCAACGCTCATGCACTACAGGAAAATCGTCTCACCTTTGTAGAGAAGTGAAAACAAAACAGGATGACACGGCCCTTAATGCTCATTCTACTGACAATAATATTAAAGGTCTCACAAACCCCTGGCTCTATGTAATGTATATCATTAAATCGTAAAACAATCAGGCAGATGCTTTTGTATCACAGGTTTTAGAACAAACATTTCCCTTTATAAGTTATTTTTCCCTATGTAGTTTAAATTCTGAAGTTAGTGGTCCCATGTTGTACCAATTTTATAGAAGCTTCAGTCTCTTAGACAGTTCTGCAGGCCTTATCATCAGTGGGACTGGTGTTCTGTGTATGTCTGATTAGCTATGGTGTCTTGCCACAACTAAACAGAATGAAGAAATTTTACCAACATTTTTGTTTGGATCCCTGAGACCTTTCCATTTGCATTTAACAGTATTTCAAATATATACCCTCTTGTCTTACAAACCATTTTCTGTATCTCTTGAGTTCACTAGAAAACTTCATGCTGACATTTGAGTGTGGACTTCTGCTCTATATTCAACTGACTAGTGGCATCTGCTGGCACATCAGAATACTACAAGATAATGCACACTACTACACAATATAAAAAGCATCTTTAATATACTCTGGTTCACAAAGTAATTGCTTAAAAATACTGCTTTTATCTTTATAATAAAAAGCATATACAACACAAACATTCTTACAATATAAAGCTCACTAACCTCAATCATTTAAAGCAAGTCCTAGTGTGACCTGTAACAATATGGCTTCCCATTCTTTGAGTAAATACAAGAGCAAATCATATTGTTTTTACACGTTTGTGTTATATATACACACACACACACACACACACACACACACACACACACACACACACACACACTACCTGAAATTTGTATTTTATTTAATTTAAAAATGCTATTAGTCACATTTTCATTTCCTCTTGAAAAAAGAATCCAGAGTGCCCGTACTGCCACCTTGAGAGCAGTGTCTTTTCGGCTGGGGTCCTGACTGGCCTCTGGTTTTTGTCTTGCCCCTGGAGGACTGGGCTGTGCCTGCTACTCCCACTCTGAGAGGAGATGCAGAGGAAGAAGAGGAGGCAGTGGGGGAGGAGGTAGAGAGAGCTGCTGAACTCGTAGATGAAGAGAGTGAATTCTGGAGGTCCAGGGCAAAGTGATAATCATTGTGTTCAGGCATTTCCCAAACCAACACCTCCTGGCCACAGCGTTCACACTTTAAGAGGTCTTCTCTGGACACACTGGGAAGATGGCGATTTTCCTCTGCATTAATGTCCAGTTCATCCTTTAACTCTTCACATGGTGACTGGTGACATGTAAACTCTGAGCTATGTTTATCCTGCAGGCCTGACCTAAGAGCAACAGTGTCTTCCGAGTCTTCTTTTTCATTGACTGTCGCAGTTGATGTCGTTGATGCTGAGGCGTGTGAGCTTCTCTCAAGACTCTTCTTGTGGAAGAAAGAGGAAATGTCAGGATGGGGGCTGGATGAACCATTCTTACAATGAGGGGAAGGTGGTAAGGAAGAAAGAGGGCTATTGATACCTGACTCTTCTTGACTACCAGTTGCAGAGGGTTTGAGAGTTATGGCGGAACATGGGAGAATTCCTGTGGATCTTCTATCTTCATCCTCCTCCTCATCTTCTTTTGTTACTTTCTGTCTTTGTTTCTCAGATGCCTTTTGAAAGAAGGACTGAATAGTGCCAGGTTGTTTGCATGTTGAGTTATTTTTCAGTTCAGAGAGTGGCTGTGTGGTGGACTGAGTGGTGGAGAAAAGGCTCTGGGTTGAAGTGACATCACTGGAAAGGAAACCAGCTATCCCCCCTGCTGATGGAGCATCACTGAATTTGCTGGCTGAGAGGTGTAGCAGGGTGAGGGGTGGAGTCCTGTGGACATGATTTAAAAAAAAAAAAAAAAAAAGAGTGTCATAATCACAGAATTCCTTCAACCAATGACTTTAAATATTTAATCGTTTTATCTTATTATTACCATGTAGCCTGGTGGCTTCCTGCTGTGCTGAGACTCTTGATGATGGCAAAGCTGTCACTGGATATTTTGGTCGCTTCATAGCGCACTAAAGCACAACAGCGAGAAAAGCTGCTCGGCCTCTTATCCCCAAGCTGACGTACACCAACTGTCAACAATTTAGCCACTCGACCATTCTGTAATGTGATGAGAAATGACAGCCACTAACATCAATCCCAGTTATATTTACTATAGATGGCTTCAATGTGAAACCCAAAAGATAAAGTTGTTCACCCTACTGTAATAAGGGCAAAGAAAAAAAACAAGTTTTTTCTCACCACTTCTCTGTCCTTGGTCAGCCTCTCCTCCAACTCAAGAGCAAGTTGATGAAGCCAGTACTGTACCTACACAGAGGTTATTAATAATCAACATGAAAACAATAAAATATTCTTTCTAAATTTCAGTCAAAATAAGCCTAAAAATCAAAGTCAGATTAATACGTTTCCAACCCTGATGTAACACAGGGGTGGCAGAGACTGAGGGTCTGTACCTGCTCTTTTGTAGCCAGTGATGTCTTCCCAGGGAAGTTTTTACTGCAGCCGATGGACTTAGGTAGCTGTCTGGGTTTTACTGCTTCAAACTCAATCCCCCGACACAAGTCATACAACCATTGGCTGCAAGGCAAAGACATTCAGAGAGATGAATGCACTTGGTAATTAAGTATAAAGAAAATGTTAAGAATTTAAGTCCAGTTTATTTTTGGAGCAATTTGTCAAACAGGTTTGTCTTTGTAAGGAAATGTCAATTCCTTTTAAAATTATGATGATGTCATAATAAGCAAGACTTCTGTTTGCCAGTCATCTTATGAGACTTTTGACTTTCAAAGGAATATCTAGCTTGTCTTACCCTGTTTTTTCTCCAAAGTGCTGTCCCAGTTGGGCCTGAGAGAAGCGAGTCAGATCTCCCATGTTCTCAATTCCCAGAGTTTCGGTGATGGAGGCACCCAGCTTACCCCCCAGGTTACGGCTGCATAGATGAAATAAGCAATACATGAGTTCAGTATATTGCTAGTCACCTTCTGTTTTTAAACTTCTATGTCAGATTATGTGATTAAAAAATGTGATGAATACATTCTTTATGACAGAGCAATACTTTGAACTCACATCTTGCTGATGGGTAGAGAGTTGAAAAGTTCTGTTACAGAGTCCAGAGGCAGAACAGTTTGCCGGTTAGGTTTGTTCAGTCCACAAGCTAGCTTGGCCAGTACCTAGAAAAACAGACAATTATCTGTGACCATAGCAAAAATAATTATTGCTCTTTAAAGTATTGAAATGGCATTACACTATACCAAGAATAGAACAATGAGAGGTTTTCGTACCTTATTGTGTGATATCCCTGCTGAACAGCGGAAGCCTGTGTGTTTCTCCACGGCTGCTCTCATTTCCTCAACAATGAGTGCCCCCACAGTCAGCTGCAGATCTGCAGAGCTATGCTCCCCTGATGGAGGGACAGGTAAGGATGCCAGCCACTCCTGGAGACCTCTGGACCTCAGCTCCTCTGTAGACAAACATGATGCTATTAGTGGGATACATCCTACCAGAGTTTGTGTGGTGCGCTTCCTGTGTCCAACGCTGAAATGATTACTCGAGTAATCAGTTAGTTTTTGGTTATAGCCTACCTTTATCCAAGACAGCATCCTCTGCAGATGTGTCCTCTTCCTGTGAACTTTGTGGGTACCCCTGGATGTAGGTTGTCTTCAGCAGGTGAGGCTCTATTTGTTTGTCTGTCATGGTTTTCAGCCGCTGCTGGACCGCAGCAGTCAGGTCCATGTAGGCTTCATCAATGCTGGCTCTTTCAATCACAGCAAAGCGAGACATCACCTCAATCACCTCCACACTTGCCTCCCTGTAACTACACAAGGAGTGAGTAGGTTATTTATCTTACAACTGGTCATAGAAGTGGAGGTATTAAAATAACAGATCAACTATTAATGCTATCAAAGACAGGAAGATTGGGGTTACAGAGGTTACATAGTACATACCAATACCAGCACTTACTGTGTTAGGTCTGCCTTGCCATGAGACTCACGCACTCGTGCCACCTGGAGGTCTGGGCACAGTTTCTTTGCATCGTCCACCCACATGTTCCTGGTGACACCATGGGCCCTGGCCTCATAGCTCACAGCTATGATACTAACAGAGGATGATATTTAATTAAGAACCGTAAGAGCATGTTAACATTAAGTCCAAAGTGGTTATCTGTGGGAGATTAGGGCGGGTGAGTTGCCAACACAGAGACGGCCATTTAAATGGTCCATGCAACTGAACAGACACAAGCCGAGTATAGTGTCAATGTATACACAGTGTGTGCTGAAGAGAGAGAAGTCTTTGCAGTCACAGTGTAGTCTCATGCTGCCAGGTCACAGCATCGACTGGAAGGTGTTAAAATCATTGACCAGGAGTCGGTGGGCAGCCAAATCAAAGATGCTATTTACATCTAATGCCAGAGACCATCATTGAACCGAGCAGGAAATGGGGTTGCATGGTTATTATGATCCCATCGAAGTTTCATAACTTGGTCACGTGATGACATTTGACTGCTGTGGGTAGAAAAAGCTAGTAAGTGCACCTTGAGTTCAGATTTTTTTTGTCAGACTACCATTTCTAAGTTAGCTAAGCAATGTCATCTAGCTATCCAGAGGCTGAACGACCGCGGTTTCAGTTGCATTAATCATAAAAACAGTGTCTCTGTGTCAGAAACTCACCTGCCTCCTTTCCACGTCTTGTACTGGGCCACCACACAGGGAGTGTTCCTCAGAGCTGGATTCAGCCTCTGCTCCACCTGGACGTAAAAACAGTCCATGTCCACCAACGCCACCACTCTCTCTTTTCCATACTCCATCACTGGAGAAGGAGTGTCGGTCAGCGAAAATAAAATAGACACCAACTGTGGATGCTCACTGAGGTTGAACCGGGCGCCGAAATATAGATGCTTCCGTTACTGTCACTTTCTATTGACGTAGACATCTGAATTTACATAAAAACGTCATCTAAAGTCGACGAATGCAACATTACAGGTAGGCCATTATGTCGGCCATAGTGATGAGGTCGTTTAACTACAGCTAGTAACAAAAAATAGTAAAGAAGCTACTGTTTTCACATTTAGGCTTGTACAAAACTCAGTTTGGACGCTTGGCTCTTCGTGTATCTTTTTTTGACCACTCCAAAAACCGAAATAAGGAGTGGGTTAATAAGTGCGTTAATTTCTTATCATAAAGCTATAAACCTTAGCATGTCTCGATTTTACTGGATTTGGGTAAGTTTGCACATCAACCACAACAACATTTGTTAGATAGAACTATATTTGTCAAACAAATTGGGGTTATTCCTCATCCTGAAATTCTGTAAGAAAAAAAAAAGACATTGGTCTAATTGTTGAAATTTTGACTCTATTTTACTTTTATTTTATTTAATCATATGGAGAACTGTGTTTCTTACTAAGATGGTTACTTAAGAATTTGTACTTATTCCCAAATTCCTTCAATTAGATTTAAAATTTCTGCTTTATGTTAGGGACAGTGAACATTAATTATAAACAGTTTTAAACATCTTCATCTGCAACCCTTTTTCAGCTTTTTAGTTAAATTGTCATGTATAAATCCAACAGTATAATGTTTACTACAGGCAGAAAGGAAGTAAATGAAATTCAGTTACTGCTTATGGAGTGCAGTGCTGCTATTGCCATCCCTATCTTTCAAGACTGAGTTTCCCTTTGATAATCACCATCAATAAAAGTTTGATTTAATTTTGTTATCCCAAAAGTGAGGAGCTATAACCAAAAAGCAATAACATTATTTATTTATTCTGTAAGTTTAAGAGAGAGAGAGAGAGAGAGAGAGAGAGAGCATGGGAAAACTACTGCCCTTCACCTAATGTTAAGTTAAATTATTGACATAATATAATTATAACCTACATTTGGTTTCTGCTATAGTAGTACACATGTGGCCTCCACTTTCTCATTTAATAACATGCAGTTGCTAAAATGGTTAAAAAATATCACTTATTTGAACATATTTTTTCATATTTGTTGGTCAGGCCCGAATTTTTGTATTTTGTAATCTGGATAACTTTCCTGTCAGTAGGGTTAGCCTACAAAATTAGCAGTCTGGTGGTTTGCGTGAACAGGATGGCATGGATTGTAGTCATATCCCCAGCCTTCTGTATTGTTTCAGTCTGCACCTGGCAGGGCCAAAAGAAGTGTTAAAAATAAGGAAGGAACTTTGTTAGTTACCCACAGTGATACTGAAAGAGCTCATGCACTTGCAATATTAATGCCAGTATGACTTCGCCATATGTTCCTCACCTTATAATACTTGCTGGACTGATGGGTAAGTCAGCTAAGCCTTAATAAGAATAAATGATAGTCAGATTTATGATTAAAACAATATTATTGGTGTTGATATATTGATGTTCATCAATAAAATTTGAGTTATACATTTAAAGTGACAACAAACCACCAGTATTAATCATAAATATTGCATTAAAGTTAAGTAATGATAATAATTTGTAACAGATGTGTTATTTAGCTTTGACACATGTGTAACCTGAAGCTGATGGTGTTATACTCAATATGTCGGAAGCCATCACCATTGAATAAGTGTCTGCTGTTGTTTTGTCAGGAATTCACTGTGAAATTATGACAGTGAGTGAAGTGTCAGTCAAGACTGGAGGCTCCATCTCTATCCCATGTCTCTATGAGTCTCACTACAGAAACCATGTGAAATACTTGTGTGAAGGACATTTTTTTATAGTTTGCACAATAGTAGCTCAAACAGACCAACCAAAAAGCAGTTCAGAAAAGTTTTCAATCTACGATGACACAGACCAAAACATCTTCACTGTATCAATTAATGATGTAACGCATAAGGACTCTCATTACTGGTGGTGTGGTGTGGAGATTGAAAAAAACAGAGATGTCCGACAATACTTTCATCTGTCAGTCACCACAGGTAAAATCCCTTAAATGTTTTAACACATTTGAAATCCTTTTTGTGAATATGGTGGGAGAAACACATTGAAACTTATTTACTACTTAATTTTTTACTCTTGTTTTTTTCAAGGTATGTCAAGTCTATATGTGGACCAGCAGAAAATTACAGCATTTGAAGGAGGAAGTGTGACTGTTGCATGCCACCATAAATATCCAAAAGTGACACAGTGGTGTAGACTGGGCAGGAACTGTGTGACAGATCAGAGCAGATCAATAGATGGAACACCAGTGACCATCAATACAAGTGTCCCAAATGTTTTCAGTGTGACTATGAGTGAACTGACGACAGAGAGCAGCGGCTGGTATTGGTGCGTCAAAGGAAAATTACAGATGCCGGTTCTTGTAACTGTTCATGAATTAACCTCAACTACTACAACTACAATGATCCCCAGTACAGCAGGTAAGATCCTAACCATTGTCTATTTTTATGAAAAACAGTTACAAAGGTAACACAAACAAAACCCTAAAATAATACTTGTCTTACAGTATAAAATCTATTCATGTCATTTACCTTGAAAGTCTCAGAGTTAAAGTACAATAATCCACAATATACAGTGTAAGAAATACCATGATATCATAGCTCTGTGTAATGATTATCAGTTCAATTTTCCATATGAAAAATGAAATACTGAAAATTTAATTGTATTTCATAATGTTCCATGCTCCATGTCCAATGTTTTTTGTTTGTCAGATGAATGTATAGATTTAAAAGCCGGCTTTCTAATTTTCCATTTGTGGAATGTTGGGTAGAAAAATGGCAAATTGACAGATCATCATATACTGTATGAATTAACCTGAGTTTTCACATTAATAGACTTCACAGGGACAATTTCAACCACTCACCAGCATTCTTCCTTGCTCATGAGTACTGAGCCACAAACGGCTCGTCCCACAAACACCACCATATCTGAGGGGCCGAGAGACAGAGAGACCCTGCAAGATGAACACAAGAGGTGTGTATCCTTTACTTTATTTTACTTCAACAACTTAACTGGGTTCAGACCTTATTTCTGCATATGTTTCCCTCTCCACCCTTTGTGTTTCCTAATACTAAAAAACGAATATGCTCTAATTGCAGTCACTTTAAAACACTAACAAACAACAATTGAGCATGGAAGATTATTCTATCCATTCAGTCTTGACTATAGATTATGTTGTTACATCTAATAAAGCACATAATTGTCTTCCATGCAAACTCTGTAACTCAAGATGAAATAATTAGCTATTTGTTTTAGATTTACAAAATAAAGATTATATAACAAAACAACATTTTAATGCAGTGGCTAATTTCAGGCAACATTATGGCTTTATGTCATTTAATTAAATGTACCTTTAATCCTCATCTTCTATAGGTCCACTAAAGTGACAATTCTCATCACTATCTTGGCCTTACAGCTGTTGGTTGTTCCTGCTGCCTTTTTTGGATGGAGAATGATAAAACGTAGTAAGTCTTTTGTAAACTCTGCTAAAACAAGTTCAGGTATAAAATATCAGTTATTCTAAAATATAAAAAATTCATGTGTTGTAGAAAAGACCAAACCTGAGGGGCCTGACATCACTGTGGTAAGATATAACCATGTATTTCCCACTATTAGTTTGGAATAAATACACCTTCACTTACATATTTCTTCTTTGCTTAGTAAATAAAACATTTCACAGTATACTCCAAGTTCTCCTACTTAAAATAAGTAAGATAATAATGAGATCATATAGACAGTTACACTATTTAAAAAAAGGGCCTGTCCAAGACCACACTTCATGTGACCCATCAGATAATATGATACGATAGGGTCAACAATGGAAGAACTGTTAATATGTGACCCTTGTAGATACAAATAAACTATATAATATTAATATATGATAAACATTGGTATCACAATCAAATACAGTGCAGTGACACTTTCTCCTCCTACAACTTCAATGATGATCTAAACTTCACAATCACAAACTATCCACCCTACTTAACAAGACTATCCTAACATGATTTTAGATATCCTGTATATGAGTGCTCTTCACATGAGTAAACTCCAGACCATGTAGATAAAAATAGCTATACTTGTATTATAAGATGGCTTTGCAAGTATTGAGTATAACACATACATACGCTCCACAACAGTTAACTTCTGTAAGCAAAATGACCAGTCCAATAAGCTACCAGTTAAACAGGGTAAGGCAAATAATTAGAGAGGTTAAGATTAATGCCATATTTCAATTATCCATCATAGTGCTCAGAAACTGGGAGTGATCCTGAAGTGCTCTATGCTACTGTTGTTCATTATCAACGTGTAGCACCCTGGAAGAAAATAAAACTGGTGAGATAATCTACTTTTGTTAAAAACAGTCATAGAGAAGAGTGCCTAAAATGCATATTTGTCTACTTTTGTATTTATCCCCCCCCCCCCCAAATGTATCACTTTAACTATTTACTGTATCTCATTCAGCAGAACCCTATGCCCGAGGAGAGCGTGATATACAGTTCCATTGTAATGAAAGATAGTGTGCAACAAATGGTATGTAACTTATTTTAAACTCATGATCTTTCATACGTCAGCTAACTGTTAATAACTCAGATGGATTATTATTGTCGTTATCATTAGTACATAATTATTCAGGATCTCTTCTCTGCTTTTTAGGCTGAACCAGCTGATGGAAGTGACAATGAGCAAGATAGGATGAGAGAACATTAATTTTGCAAGTAAGACGACATTGATGAAGTCAATGGATTAATCAGTTAGTCAGTCCTGCATTGTGATCTGGAGACTTTTGGTCACAGTATTATTCTGTGCAAATCTGCACACATACAGTGCATCAAATATTTTTGAAAAGATAATATGTATAATATGTCAAACATAACATAAATATATGTAATATAATATGTTTTGATTTTCCCACTAGTACATGCTTAAAAGTCAAAATTTCAAAATGGCAAGTGTGGAAGAATGGTGTTAAGACTTTGTCTAAATCTGTAATGTGGGGAATTTGTTGCTGTCCATTTGATGCATTGAGAGCAACAGCTGAACCATGAATAGTTTGAAACAGAAGCCACTGAAACTGATCAAAGAAAGGAAGTGGCTCTGTGACTGTGGTGGTTGAAGTCCTTCTATTCTCAATTATTATTCAGAAACAGCAGATTCAATGAATGCATGAAAGATATGATAATTATGCTTCTTTTTACAAACAATATGACACGTGTTTTGAGGTTTACCTTTTATTTCTGTACAAATAAAATCTTTTTACATCTTCACAGCTTTTATCTCCATCTAAGGGATTTTTCCCTTTGTTTGTGTCTTACTTGTGATTTTTAAATGATTGTAAAACATTTTGTAACTCAGGTTTCAGAAGTTTTAAGTAATTGCTATGTACAGTGCTCAAATGTTCAAAGCATAAAGTAACAAGGATTTTCTTGATGTTTGTTTGTTTGTTACTTGTGATTTTCTTTTTCAATTATTGTAAAACATTTTGGAACTTTCAAGAGGTTATGCTCAAAAGGTAAAGTAACCATGATTATGTGCATCATCATCAAACCAATTCATGTAACTGCCTTAAAAGGAGGAGATTAAACAGCTGCAATTGTGTATTTAGAGGAATCAGGAAGTAAAGAAGTGTTATTTTGTCTGACTCACCAACATGACTGTTCATCTCAGCTTTCTTCTCATCCTCACTGGACTCACAGGTCAGTCACAGTCACATTTTATTTGTACTGGCATTTAAGCTGGTCCTGTAAGATGATGATGGCATGAGTAATTTTTGTCATTAAATATCAGTCAAATTAGTAACGCACAAGCTTTTTAATTTAATGACATTTGGAAACAATTGTGTATAATCTAAAACAACTGCAATAATGCAATAATATAGGACACATAATATGAAAGAAGAATATTGCTAGATATGTAATAAAATGCTGCATTTGTTCTTGCTGCAGGAGTTCACAGCGTAACCACAGTCAGTAAAGTGTCAGTGAAGGCTGGAGATTCAATCACCATCCCATGTCTCTATGGCCCAAAATACATGAACCATGTGAAATACTTGTGTAAAGGATATCACTGGAGCTCCTGTTCATATGCAGTTAAAACAAACCAACCACGTAGTTCAGGAAAGTTTTCAATCTCTGACGACAAAAACCAGAGAATCTTCACTGTGACTATAAAAGATCTGACGAATACAGACACTGATTACTGGTGTGTTGTGGAGATTAATGGAGGGGCAGATGATGGACAGTATTTTCACCTGTCAGTCACCACAGGTAAAAGCACCTTTAAGCACATTTCTGTTATTATTTTCACTTTTGTGAAAAACACTAAGGATGGTCTCATTGTTTGCCACAGAGACTGATTAAGATTCCCACATTTTTCTATTGAATTTTGTTTTTTCCCCAAAGATACACCCAGCCTCTCTGTGGATCATCAGGAGATTACAGGGTTTATTGGCGAGAGTATAAACATCAGTTGTTACTATAGAAACTCTGGAGAAAGCAGGTGGTGCAGGTTGGGCATGAACTGTGTGACAGGGTCATCAGGATCAATAGATGGAACAAGTGTGACCATCAGTGCGACAGTCTCCAATGTTTTCACTGTGACTATGAGTAGACTGAAGACAGAGAGCAGCGGCTGGTATTACTGTGTTAAAGGAGAATTACAGATGCCAGTTCATGTCAATGTTACTGAGAGACCTACTACCAGTAAGTACTATATTATGTAAGCATTAAATATATATTAAATAAATTAAAATTAATATTAAATAAATATTTCTCAAGCACAGCCGTGTGTAATATTTTGATAAAATATAGATTAAATGTTAGGATTCATTATTGTTATATTCATCTATTTATCATTGTCTTCTTTTGTATTAGCCACACTTGCCACAACAAGACATGTCACTATCTTATCACCCACTTCTAAACCTGTGAATATCACCCCTACTTTTGGAAATGAAGTGTCTACCACAGATCAGCATGAACAACCCGGGTGAGAAGTTTTTGCATTAATATAAAGTGTTAAGAGAACTGTGGCCATTTTATGGGTTAATAAAACAATTCAATTTAAGAATCTCTGTACATGTTTTTTTGTATTACTTAATAAATAAGATTGACTCACAATGGCTAAGGTATATGTATGTGTAGATTTGTCAAATGTGTTTGTATAATTTACATGATATTGCAGTATTGTTTGAACAAGAGCATTCTGTATCCTAATTCATTTGCATTGTGTGTTTTTATAAATTCATTTACGCTCCAGTGTTTCAGTTGCCTTGATGAGTTTCGTGATTTCTCTAAGTTTGTTGATCTTCATTGTAATGGTGACCATTTTCGTCTGGTTCATGTTGAAAAAGAACAGTAAGTCAATGCTGGACTTTGACAAATCTGAGTCATTCCAATTTTGTATGTTAATATTTATTTTTTAATATAAGCTATTGTGTGTTTACATTAACATGTGTTTACTGTTTCACATTTAGAGCAGACCAAAGCAGCATCTTTATCCATGACAGAAGTAAGATATGCTTTTTTGCTTTTCTAAGGAATATAAATAAGGCTTTAAGGATCCACAGTATGAAAATGAACGTGTCATGGTTATTGTGTATTTAAACCTGGCCGATTTGACCATTTTAAGCATAGTAATGATAAAATCTAATATTGTTCTATTGTAAATCAAGTTTCACTGGAATTGTATAAAGAAAATTAAATGGGAAAAAATGTGTCTTCTTTGCAGTCCTCTGACATTTCTTTGCTCTTTCAACACAGGCTGAAGAAGAAACAACAAACAGCAATTCTGAGAACATGAGGAATTATTCAAGACAGGTAATCCATGGTAACATTCTGAGAATCTACTATCTCTTTTCAAATCTGCAGGGTTGTATCATATTTTGTTCAATTTTTTTTCTGTTCGATAAAATACATTAAATCATATAATTTTGTCCCAGTGGATTTCTGTTATTAAGTAATTTTGGTTACAGTAATCGCTGTCAGAACTCTGTTTGTCATTACATGTCAGGCCAGGTAACCTTCTAAAATGTAATTTGTAAAGTGCACAATACAAGTACACTAAACAACATGTAGGCAAGGTACACTCAAATGTGATATATTATGTCACCATTCACAAATGCAAAAAAAAAAAAAAATCTTAAAAAATTAATTGTTTCCAGTTCTCTCGATCATATCTGTCTATGCTTCTGTACCCAGTCATATGCTGAGGCTGAGGCTGATGTGGATGTGATATATAGTTCTGTGGTTATCAAGAGGCAGCAAAGACTACAAAGGGTAAATTTTAAAAGAATAAAATCTCACGCTTAGATACTGTCACTTACAGTACTGTTGTTCCGTGGTTTCCTTCCATGTTGTTGATGGTCTCATTCAGTGTTGCCTTTAAATTGTCCAAATTTCTCAAACTTACAATTTTTATTTCTATTCTTCTTTTCTTGTTGTAATTCTTACTTTTTGTTTTTTCCAACAGGTTGAAGCAAATGATGAAAATGTTATATATATTAATCTGGCTTAGAACCTGCACGGCTTAGCATACATTACCCCAAAGTTACCCAGAAACTTCTCTCTACTTTCTTTAATTTAGACGCTTTACACCTTTATTCTCTTCTGCAAAACATTTCAAAGAAGCATTGACCTCTTCGTTTGCCAAGAGTTTGACAAGACTACTGCGGTTTTCTAAAACCTCACATTGCACATACAGTTACTTTATTGTTCGACACAGCCTTCCAACACACTATAAAAAAAGTGTGTGTAAAAGGCTGCTGTGAAAAACAGCTGTGAATTTTCAGTTTCAATATCTAACCCTGTGAGGTAGGTGACTAACCACATCCCAGGCTCGTACGTGACTGGGCACTTGTTGCATGGAACCTGCAAACCCGGCCACAAATTTTGCATTAATTCTGTGCTGTACGTAGTAAAGGCATAAAAGAAAAAAAAACACAGCTGTGATCACTCAAATCGAGTGTTTGGTTTTAATATTGTTTGGGACATTAGACAACCAATATGCTGTATGTTGTATGTTAAATGTGTCTATATTGCCCAGACATGCACATACTGTACACACATATACAAACACAAAGCTTGATTCTGCAGAACAAATGCTTTTATGTAATTGCTTTTATGACTTGTCCAAAAGAGGATATGTACCATATTGATTTCATGTCTGGTTTTAAACTCATATTTTATATTTTATGTGATTAGGTTATTCTTAATTAGCACCTCTAAGAGCATCAAAATAAACTAAACTTTATCCACAAGCCGCCTTTAGACATCACTTGAGACTAAGTACTTGATAGTGTGTAATGGAATGCTGACTAACTTCCTGTTGCTATTTTGAGCTGAATTAAAACCTTGTCTGTGATTCTGTAGCTGTCCTCTCTCTCAGTCATCCAATGTGTCTATACAACTAAAGACTATCCCGCAGCTAATGATACAGTGCATTCATGACAGAGCCACAGCAATGATCATACTGTATCCCATCTTTAAACCATCTTTAAAAAACCTCCTCTTGTATTTATTTTTAAAATCAGCCCATAAACCTATAGCTGGACCCTATAGACCATGCAGCTCCATCTGCTTGGTGGTTAGACTACTGCTACCAAGATTTGAGCAATAAACACAGTATAATTTACATCTTACATCTCATAATTAATTTATATGTACAGTCTATGATATAAATTCAGTTGCCTGATGTGAGTCATATCCAGTGGAAACATTATTTTCAATTTTATGTTGATTCAGTTAAATACCAATGCCAGTCAACGATGCATAGTACAATCTGATGGTAAAAACACACTGGTTGATGGTGCTCAAATAGATCTACACTGCAGTGATTTTGCAATTTCACCACAGACCTGGTGAATTTCACCCTTATTTGCATAAAATTTTTAAAATTTAAAAGATTTTTAATTTTCAAACCCTAGCTTTTTTGCCTTGTTGGTCTACTCCACATCACAATTTTCCTACATGGCTATGAGAGCCGATTCACTCACATCCACGGAAAATTTACATTGGCATTTACACCTACTAATTTGGCAGACGCTTTTATCCAAAAGCAACTTACAAGTGAGGGACATCACTAAAGCTCCGGTGCAGTAGGAAACCTTGGTGTGAGTGCTAAATACTACATCTACTTGATAGGTGCAAGGAGATAAAAATAAAGAAGTGCACCAAAAGTGCATAGTAAATGGTAGTTAGGCATTTTAGGGTGTTTAGGAAAGGTTTTCAAGAGATTTTTGAAGTTAGAGAGGGATGCCCCTGCTCTGATAGAATTTGGTAGCTTGTCCCACCATCTGGGAACCAGAGACGAGAACAGTTTGCAATTGTCTTGTTTGGTTGGGTGGCAATGCCAGACGACATTTCTTGAGGGAACGCAGTAGGTGAGAAGGAGCATAAGGCTGTATAATTGAGTTCAAGTAGATGGGCACAGACCTAGAAGTGACTCTGAAGGCAAGCATGAGTAGTTCAGGAGGCCATGGGTAGCCAGTGTAGGTCAATGAGTAGCAGGGTGACATGCCCTTTTAGGCTGATCAAAGATCAGACGGGCTGCCACATTCTGGACCATCTTCAAGGGTTTCACTGTGCACAAAGGAAGGCCCGCCAGAAGAGCATTGTAGTAGTTGAGACCATGTGACCAGTGATAACCATGGCCTGGACCGAGCTGGATGGCGAACTGAGTCAGGTAAGGCCTGATTTTTCTGATTTTGTAAAGAGCAAAGCAGCATGACCGGGAGACCGATGCAACATGGTCAGAGAAGGATAATTGGTCATCAAACATGACACCCAGATGTCATGTGACCTTGGCTGTAGTAATGGATGAAGAGGCGGTTTTGATATTTATATTGTGATGAAGAGACATATTTGCCAGGATGTCTAGGAGTTCAGTCTTCAAATTTATTTAATTTTCCATCAAAATTGCTGACTTTTTGCAAAAGATACACAAACCTGGCAACACTGCAGAGACCGTATCATTTAACCCTGTGTGGAGTTAAATGGTGAATCGTTTGAAAAAGTGTAGGAAAGCCCAGTGTTTCCAAATGATCCATTCTAGAGCAAGAGTTCAAAAATATGGGCCAAGAGCAGGTTATGACAGAATTACCAAATAACAGAAGTAGCTTTCACCTAACCGCTAAGTTGACATCTTGCCGTTCAAGACGGTGTTAACTGATAGAGAACCTCATTTAATTTTCATGCCTCATCCTCCTCCACATACCAGTATTAACAAAATAACTCTAATTTCCCACTATTCCTGATTATCTAATGTTTTTATTTATTTATTTTATCAGTGATCACCAGTGCCTTTCAGTGTTCAATGTTAGATTTGTAGTTCCAGTAGGACAACCACCATCTCACTATAATGGATGGATGGAACACTTTCAGTGAACAGTGCTCAATTGTAATTATATACCCAAAACAACAAGTGGCTGAATGCAATATTTATTTCATCAGCCAACTTACATAATGTAACTGTTACACTCAGGAAGAAGAAGTTTTCAAACAGATACAATTGCTTGTTGAGTGAAATTAGGAAGTAGAAAATCAGCCTTCAAGTGCACTGGTTCATATTCTTTAACCGCTCACTTTCTGACATGGCTGTTCATCTCAAAATTATTTTCATCCTCATTGGAGTCACAGGTCAGTCACAGGGGTGATGCTGAAATTGTTTTTAAATGTGTTTCGTAATCTTTGTGCTCCTCATGTCAGATGATAATGACCACAATTAAATGAGCCTTGTAATAACCTACCCAGTGTTTAATTCATAAATTGTGGAGCCAACGATAGTTTGATATGAATATCTATGACTTGCAGGCAATAGGAAGAAAGATTATGGTTGCTGATTGTATCTGTTAAAATGCTGTATTGTGTTCTTGTTGCAGGAGTTCACAGCGTGAATACAGTCAGTAAAGTGTCAGTGAAGGCTGGAGATTCAATCACCATCCCATGTCTCTATGGCCCACAATACATGAACCATGTGAAATACTTGTGTAAAGGATCTCACTGGAGCTCCTGTTCATATGCAGTTAAAACAAACCAACCACGTAGTTCAGGAAAGTTTTCAATCTCTGATGACAAAAAACAAAGAATCTTCACTATGACTATAAAAGATCTGACGAATACAGACACTGATTACTGGTGTGTTGTGGAGATTAATGGAGGGGCAGATGATGGACAGAATTTTCACCTGTCAGTCACCACAGGTAAGACACCCTTAAAGCACATTTCAAAACATTTGTGAAATTTTAACAATTTGGAGGAAAAACCAAGGAAGGTCTCATTTGCAACAGAGATTGATGTTATTAGGATTCCCACAAATTTTTCTTGAACTTGTTTTTCCCCAAAGATACACCCAGCCTCTCTGTGGATCATCTGGAGATTACAGGGTTTATTGGAGAGAGTATAAACATCAGTTGTTACTATAGCAACTCTGGAGAAAAGAGGTGGTGCAGGCTGGGCATGAACTGTGTGACAGGGTCATCAGGATCAATAGATGGAACAAGTGTGACCATCAGTGCAACAGTCCCCAATGTTTTCACTGTGACTATGAGTGGACTGAAGACAGAGAGCAGCGGCTGGTATTACTGTGTTAAAGGAGAATTACAGATGCCAGTTCATGTCACTGTTACTGAGAAACCTACCACTAGTAAGTACTATATTATAAGTATTAAATATATGTTTGTAAAAAAATTCTCTAGTAAGTATTTCAAGTAATTATAAATTATAAATGTATGTCAAATACAACTATTTGTAAATGTTTGTTTGTATCCTAAGAGAAATTAGGATGAATTATTATTATCATATTACTCTTCTAATGATCGTCCTATTTTGAATTATAGCCACACTTGCAACAAGAGGCTCAACCACCCTATCACCCATTGATTCCAACCCCGTTATTCCAGAGCGCAGGTGAAAAGTCTTTCCATTTACACGCAGTATTTTAACTGTGGCCATTCAATGGTCAAATAATGCAGTCCTTATAAGGGAATCTCTTTATATATACTCGACTATACTTATATGGAGACTAAGATTTCTAAATAATAATTTACATATAAAACTCTAACATTAATAGATTGTACTTTATATTGTATTATTGTTTAAAGAACTGAATATTTACCATAACTAATGTGTAATGTGTCCTTAAAATGTAAATGCTGCAGTGCTTCAATTCACCTAAAGAGCCTCATCATCCCTCTGAGTGTGTTGATCTTCATTGTAATAGTATCCTTGTTCATCTGGTTTATGATGAAAAAGCACAGTAAGTCTATACTGAAACTTGATAAATTGAATTCTTAACAAATATGTTTATAATTCTTGAATATTTTCACTTTAAGTTTGGATTATTGTGCATTGTCATTGAAGGTTGAGAGTAATTAATAGGAGTTTTCACTGTTTAACTTTTAGAGCGAAGCAACGCAAAGTCATCAACCAAGACAATGGTAAAATATGCTGAGCCATTTCCCAATATACATCGATATATATATGTACTCTTTTTGTATGATGCAAAATTTAACATCTCAAAAGCTGTTAATTTTGGTTTTCTCTTATCTATATATTCACAATTTTAGCATACATACATACATTCCATTATATATACTGTAGTTGTGGTGTAATCGATGTATTCCTGAAACGAAGCTGAAATGCTCTGACATTTGTTTTGCTCCTTCAACACAGGCTGAAGACGGAGTAACATACTGTAACGTTGGGTACAAGAGAGAAACTTCAGACCAGGTAACCTTAACCAAAAAAAAATATTAAATAATACAATTACACTCAAAGACACAAAATCTAACTCTTATTATCACCAAGTGCAGCGGAATAAAACAAATTGAAATCCATAAAAATCTGAAAGTGTTCCATTCTCTGTTTAATGTCTGTCTCTCCCCCCACACAGAGATCACATGCTGAAAGTGACATGGATGTGATGTACAGCACTGTGGTTACCATAAATAAACAAACAGCAAAAAGGGCAAGTATTAAAACAAATGAACTCACTTGCACATTGATCCTCGTGTCCTCTATGTCAGTGGTTTTAAATAATTTTGTTCATGGTCTCAGTATGTAAGAAAATACTGCCCTTTAATTGAGACACTTAATTTGTTTATACATTTATTTTTATCTTTGCACTTTCTTCCTAACTGTCATATTTGTTTCTGTTCTACAACAGGTTGAAGCACAACATAATGATGTTACATACAGTACTTTGGCTCCGACCAAATCAGTCAATTAGTAGACAGTTTATTTTTTTAAGACTACTGTGTTGCAATTTGTTGTCTGCTGTTATCATTTTTGTGATGAAACTACTTCCTTCCTTTTTGTCACTTTTTTTACCTTCCTTTGCATAGCTGCAAAATGTTACAACTACGCATTGACCTATTCGTTTGCCTAATACTCAGCAAGACCAGTGACAACATGTATCTTGCTTTCATTGTACTTTTTGTTAGATGCAAAGCTCACATTAATACATATTCCTTTCTATACTAATCTTATAAAATACAACTGACTGTGGCCAAAAGAACAAGCTTGTTACAAATGTTACATTAAAAGTAAGAAGAGAAAAAAAAACCTATCAAAAGTCATATATTGAATACAAATAAGATGTACCACAACAGATGCATAAATAAGAAGTGTGAAAGTGGAATGATGTTTTCATTTGACTTTTAGAAAAATATTTTAAAAAATCTTATTATTCAACTGTAACTACCTCCATGTTTTAAATAAATGAACACATTTCAGTCCATACACCTGGAGTGCTGATCTTTCCTTTTGAAATTTTGTATTCACTGGGCCTTACATCCAAGTCTACAGTAAACTATTTTCTGAAAGTATGCTGTACATAATCATATCATAATCAACTAACCAATGTAATGCAACTTCCTTGCAGTGGGAGGAAGGCAGAACTGTTAAATTTCTAAATTTAGAAATCTAAGGAAGTAGTTGATCAGTCTTGCAGTGAACTAGTTCATGTTGTTTAGTCTGCTCACTCACCGACATGGCTGTTCATCTCAGCTTTCTTTTCATCCTCACTGCAGTCACAGGTCAGTCCCAGGAATCATTTTATTATTGTGTACATATCTTATGTGAGAAGATGATACTAATAAAAACTGTCACTTATACAAGTAATTGCCTCCTGTATGTAATTCACAGATTTTGAAGACGATAATGATCTAATATGTAAAACAAAAGCTAAAATAATATAAACATCTAAAATATGCAGATTACATGAAGGAATAATACTGTTCATAAGTATATCCATTAATACTATTTGTTCTTGCTGCAGGAATTCACAGTCTAACCACAGTCAGTAAAGTGTCAGTGAAGGCCGGAGTTTCAATCACCATCCCATGTCTCTATGGCTCACAATACAGGAACAACGTGAAATACTTGTGTAAAGGATATCGCTGGAGCTTCTGTTCATATGCAGTTAAAACAAACCAACCACGTAGTTCAGGAAAGTTTTCAATCTCTGACGACAAAAACCAGAGAATCTTCACTGTGACTATAAAAGATCTGACGAATACAGACACTGATTACTGGTGTATTGTGGAGATTAATGGAGGGGTAGATGATGGACAGTATTTTCACCTGTCAGTCACCACAGGTAAGACACCCTTAAAGCACCTTTAAGCACATTTCAAATCTTTTGTGAAATTTTAACAATTTGGAGGAAAAACTAAGGAAGTTCTCATTGGCAACAGCGACTGATTGTTATTAGGATTCCCACAGTTTTCTCTTGAACTTGTTTTTCCCCAAAGATACACCCAGCCTCTCTGTGGATCATCAGGAGATTACAGGGTTTATTGGCGAGAGTATAAACATCAGTTGTTACTATAGAAACTCTGGAGAAAGCGAGTGGTGCAGGTTGGGCATGAACTGTGTGACAGGGTCATCAGGATCAATAGATGGAACAAGTGTGACCATCAGTGCGACAGTCCCCAATGTTTTCACTGTGACTATGAGTGGACTGAAGACAGAGAGCAGCGGCTGGTATTACTGTGTTAAAGGAGAATTACAGATGCCAGTTCATGTCACTGTTACTGAGAAACCTACTACCAGTAAGTATTACAATTCAAAAAGTACGAAGTATATATTTATAAGTATTTCTCAAACACAGTCATGTGTAATGTTTTCATTAGATGGAGAAAACATTTTCATTATTGTCATATTATTCTACTAATCATTTGTTCTTGTTTTTAGCCACTTCATCATCACCCACTCCCAAACCTGACAGTACCACCTCTGATTCACTTCCCAGGTCAGAAGTCTTGGCATTAACATAAAGTATTTAGAAAAACTGTGGCCATTTTACAGACAACAAAAAGTCTTATAAAGAATCTCTATACAAGTTTTTATGGATACATGATAACTTAGACTTATATGATGAATAATATTAACTGGGAACTAATATGTAAGACTGTAAGATAAAATATATCTGTTTTACATGATCAGGATGATGAGTAGACTTTAGACTATATTGTTGTACTGTTTAAACAAGGGCATTTTGTTCATTTCAATTCATTAATGCATTGTGCTGTTTGAATTTATGTTGCAGTGTTACAGCTGAGCGAAAGGGGATCATCATCCCACTGAGTTTGTTGATTGTCATTGTCTTGGTGATCTTGTTCATGTGGTTTATATTTAAAAAAGTGAACAGTAAGTGTGTGCTAAATCCAATAATGCCAAAAGTATTTGCTATTCATATTCATAATATTTTTTGTTAAATGACATCTCCTGTGCACTACTATCAATAAACACTGAAAGTCAGTAAAAGGAGTTTTTGTTGCTTCACTTTTAGAACAGACGGAAGCAGAATCATCAACCACAGCAACAGTAAGATATGCTGAATCTTTTCTTAATATGATATTTTACAAATAACTCTCCTTACAAAGAAGGAGCAACAAGTCCTCCATCCAGTGTCACTCTCTGAAGCTGCAGGATTACAATATATCACTACAGATGAATGGCTAATAATTATTTTACCTAAAATACATCTTGATAATTAATACCATCTTTGTATTTTGTATTATAGGACAATAGTAATAGTTCTGACTTCTGAAGCTATTCATTTTCAGTTTGATGTTTGGATTATTTTTAACACAGGCTGAGGAGGAAGTGAAATACAGTACTATTAAGCACAAGAGAAAACCAGGCCAGGTAAGGAGCTTTATGAAAATGAACTTTGTTTCACTTTTTTTTCTTTTATCAAGCACGCATCTAGTGGTTTAAAAAATAGCCACAAATGCACACATCAGAAGTGTAATTTCTCATGTTGAGAAACATTGATTGGAATTGGAATCTAATGAAACATTTCACTTTACTGTGGTTCTGCTTTTGTGAATTATGCAACTGAAGGCTTGTACAAAAATGCGTCAGAAAAATACTAATGTTACTCTGTTGTTTTTCAATACTGATATTATTGGTTCAAAAAGAAGTTGATTATGATAATAAATAGAATAAAACATATCCCTGATACAAAGACAAACCTTTATGATCCATTGCATCTAAATCTCACAAGGGAAGGCTGTGTTCTTCCAAAACAGCAAAAGGAATTACTGAGTATAGGCCGCAGAATTGTAATGTACCACTTTGGATGGACATTAAATATTTGTATTACATCTTGTGCAATTTTGAGATTGTGGATTTTTGTTGAAGAGAAAACAGTAACCATTACCAGAACTTCAATTCAGCATTATTGTAAATATCCTAATGGTAATTCCTCTGATCACATGTTCCCCTTAAAAGGGAAATTAAATAGTTCATGCTTTCTATTTTTCAAAAAATGGTCATGTTGATGTAATCTGGTATATTCCAGTAATAATGGTGTATAGCCTTACTGCAAATTACATCTGCTTTGCTCCTTCTTCAGGCTGAAGAGGAAGTAACATACAGTACTGTTAAGCACACAAGAAAACTTTCACACAAGATAGCCCTTAACCTCTGAAATCATAACTTGTATATCACACAATATAAGTAAACTGAAGCACATATTTAACTATAATTTTGTATCTTTACCATGTAAATTTCAAAAAAGAAAAACAGGTTAAACTGTTGAATTAACGTCTGTTTCACATCCGTCTCTTCTTTCTTCCCCAGGGGTCAGATGCTAATAGTGATGGGGAAGTGATGTACAGCTCTGCGGTTAAGCCTGCTGTAAAACAACAAATGGAAAAAAGGGTCAGTTTTAAGAGATCCACGCCCAAACTCACATAGTCAAACTTCTTTTGCATAATTTTTAGCAACACTAGCAGCATGGCCCTACAGATGGCAATGTAAGTCTGTCTGTCAGTCAGTCCACCACTTTTGGTCCAGACTGAATTGTCATAAAAACTATTGGATGGATAACTATGAAATTTGGTGCAGGCACTCCAGGTGCCAAGATGATGAGACGTACAGATTTAGATTCTCCCCTGACTTTTCATCTAGAGCCATCGTAATATCGCAATTTACAGTTTATGACTTAATACCTGCAAAACTAATGACATACTAATTAGCAAATGCTTCAAAAATTATGACGGTGAACATGGTAAACATACCTGCTAAACGTCACCATATTAGCATGCTAAAGTTAGCATTCAGCTCAAAGCACCACCATGTATGTGAGTATTGCCTTACAGAGCTGCTGGTATGGCTATAGACTCTCAGCTCATCTTTGTTCTTTCTTCCTAATTTTCTTTTTTTTCCTCTTCTGTTGTCCAACAGGTTGAAGCAACAGCTGAAGATGTTACATATAGCACATTGGCTCAAAGCAAGCAAAACCTGTAAATATTAAGTCATAACTAAATCTATCTCACAGGTGTGTCATATTATTTTTAGATGTTGTTGTCATGGTTTTGTTTGGTTATAATGTCATTTTTTCATTTTTCATTTTTAAGTTTTATACCCTCTTCTTGTTTTTGATCCTCCTCCGCATAATTGAAAAAGGAAAAAAAACAATGTTTGACATGACCATTGACAACACTGCTGTATTACTTAGTAAGCCTCACAATGGTAAATAATCACAACTTATACTTTAAGGATGTTAGTGTGTACTTCATCTGTGCTTAAACTTATTTATTTTTCAATATTTGAACTGTCTTCATAGCCTGCTTTAATGTGTATTTGCTCATATTGCATAATAAGAGAATACGTCATTATTAAATGTAGTAAATGAAAAAGACTAGTAGAGTCCTGAAGTGGTGTAAGAATTGCCTGTCTTCAAAGTGATGTTAAAGTGTGTCTCCTTTGTCGTTACTGAAAGTTTGCAAATAGAAATCACTCATAAAAATCTAACTCATTTTATTTCTCCTCCTTTGAAAAGCCACCACCTAATATAACATCTACCATTGTACATATAATATAGAACTTTCCTGTGAAAAACGAGCACATAGGTCGTTTGTGCACCAGGTTATAATGACCCATAGTTATGCTCTGTTAGTGCTGATTGTTTCTTCTAAAACTTTGTTTCCACTGGACCTTGCATCTAAGTCTACTGTAAACTTTATTCTGAAACCACATTGTAACTGCATAGATATTTATGTACATCACCTAACCAACACAGTGTGACTGATTTATTTTCCTCCTCACTGAACTCAAATATATAACTTGTGAATCATATCTAAAAGTCAAGAATTTAGAAAAGCAAGACTGGTATTTGTTTCTGTCAGTTTAACACATTGAGTCAGAGAAAGAGCAACAGTTGAAATAAAAACAGTCTGCACCAGAAGCCACTCAAGCTGACCAAATACAGGAAGTGACTTTCTGACTAAAGTGGTTTAACTCCATCTATTATCAGTGAGAATTCAGAAACAGCAGATTCAATTACTGAATAAAAGATATGACAATAATTATGCTTCTTTGGACAATGGAATACATTTCTGTTTGAACTTTCAAAAGGTTATGCTCAAGTGATTATGTGCATCATCATCAAACTAAATTCATGTAACTGCCTTAAAAGGAGGAGATTAAGCAGCTGCAACCGTTAATTTGTAAAAATAAGGAAGTAGAGAATAAGTCCATCAGTGCATTAGCAGTGTTATTTTGTCTGACTCTACTCACCAACATGACGGTTCATCTCAGCTTTCTTCTCATCCTCACTGGACTCACAGGTCAGTCACAGTCACATTTTCCGTGCATTAACATTTAAGCTAGTCCTGTAAAATGATGATGGCATGAGTAATTTGGAAACAATTATGTATAATCTAAAACAACTGCAATAATGCAATAATGTTTAATGGGCAGGTAATATGAAAGAAGAATGTTGTTAGCTATACAATAAAATACTGCATTTGTTCTTGCTGCAGGAGTTCACAGCGTAACCACAGTCAGTAAAGTGTCAGTGAAGGCTGGAGATTCAATCACCATCCCATGTCTCTATGGCCCACAATACATGAACCATGTGAAATACTTGTGTAAAGGATCTCACTTGGGCTTCTGTTCATATGCAGTTAAAACAAACCAACCACGTAGTTCAGGAAAGTTTTCAATCTCTGACGACAAAAACCAGAGAATCTTCACTGTGACTATAAAAGATCTGACGAATACAGACACTGATTACTGGTGTGTTGTGGAGATGAATGGAGGGGCAGATGATGGACAGAATTTTCACCTGTCAGTCACCACAGGTAAGACACCCTTAAAGCACCTTTAAGCACATTTAAATCCTTTGTGACATTTGAACAATTTGGAGGAAAAACTAAGTTCTCATTGGCAACAGCGACTGATTGTTATTAGGATTCCCACAGTTTTCTCTTGAACTTGTTTTTCCCCAAAGATACACCCAGCCTCTCTGTGGATCATCAGGAGATTACAGGATTTATTGGAGAGAGTATAAACATCAGTTGTTACTATAGAAACTCTGGAGAAAGCGAGTGGTGCAGGTTGGGCATGAACTGTGTGACAGGGTCATCAGGATCAATAGATGGAACAAGTGTGACCATCAGTGCGACAGTCCCCAATGTTTTCACTGTGACTATGAGTGGACTGAAGACAGAGAGCAGCGGCTGGTATTACTGTGTTAAAGGAGAATTACAGATGCCAGTTCATGTCACTGTTACTGAGAAACCTACTACCAGTAAGTACTCTAAATAAACTAAAAAGTATACATATAAAAGTATTCAGTGATAAATATTTGTGATTAGTTACAGCCATCCGACATGTTTTGATTTAATTCTGTTATTAGCAACAAGAAATCATAAACACTTGTGAAGTTAAGCAACCTCTTAATTGAATGCTAATATGAAATTGATGTTTGAGTTCATTATTGTGGTATTCCCTCTGGTAGTCAATGTGTTGTTTTTAATTATAGGCACTCCAAGGACAACAAAGTATCCAACTAACATATCGCTCACTCTTGAACCTGTGCATCAGTCTTCTGTGTTCGCAAGCAAAGATCCCTCCACAGTTCAACAGAACAGGTCAGAAGCCTTCACATTAACATACAACATTTAGAACATTGCCATTTTATGATTTAAAAGAAAAACATTTAGGGAATATAAGGGAATCTCTTTCTTAAAGACATTAGATGAGATGTTGATATTAATTGTATGAACTCAGTATTTTCTAAAACTATTACAGTATAAGCAAGATGAGCAGACTTCAGACAACATTGTAGGACTTTTTTAACAATAGAATTCTCTTTATCTTACCTTATTTGCATTGTGTGCTTTAAATTTATGCTGCAGTCTTTCCATTCACCTAAAGAGTTTTATCATCCGTCTGAGCTTGTTGACCTTCATTGTTATTGTGGGCTTGTTCATCTGGTTTATGTTCAAAAGATACAGTAAGTCTATGCTTAATCAAATTCATGTCCAACATTCCAGTTATTCTCACATATTTTGTTAGAAATGAAGACTAATGTTTATTTGTTTGTTTTTTTGTTTTTTTACTGTTTCATGTTAAGATGGAACCAAAGCAGATTCAACCGGATTCCTTTGTGGTTACTGAAAGTTCAAAAATAAAAATCACTCATAAAAATAAAAATCATTTTATTTCTCCTCCTTTGAAAAGCCACAACCTCACAACATCTACCATTGGACATACAGTATATTATAGAACTGTCCTGTGAAAAACGAGCCCATAGGTCGTTTGTGCAGCAGGTTATAATGACCCACAGTTATGCTTTGTTGTTAGGCGACATCTAGTGGCCATAATAAATATGACAGGAGCAAAGGGGAAGGTGCAGTGACGTAATATAAACACCAACAAAGTATGCGTCAGGAGGAGGTTTGGTTGCATGTTGTTATTATTGTAACCATGACAACAAAGATCGTCTAATGTTGAGGCAGCACTTATTTTAACCCAAATCATGATCTTTTCCTAAACCAAACCAAGTGGTTTTAGAGCCTCAACCTAACCAAGCCGTGACCGTTATTATAGTAACCACAGCCGGTAATCGGATGTTTAGGTTGAGGACTTGTTTTGTAGAAGTGTAATTTTGAATCTACTTCATAACAGTAGACTTCAATGCTTTATGATTTCTATTAGTGTTGGATATATATATGGGCTAAAAGGTTATATGTCGTGCTATTGTCATGTTTTAAATAAATGAACGCATTTCAGTCCATGGAGTGCTGATCTTTTCTTCTAAAACTTTGTTTCCACTGGACCTTGCATCTAAGTCTACTGTAAACTTTATTCTGAAACCACAGTGTAACTGCATAGATATTTATGTACATCACCTAACCAATACAGTGTGACTGATTTATTTTCATCCTCACTGAACTCACAGGACTGTCACCTAACTCAAATATATAACTCATGAATTGAATCATACATGCTTAAAAGTCAAGAATTTAGAAAAGCAAGACTGGTATTTGTTGTTGTCAGTTTGACACATTGAGTCAGAGAAAGAGCAACAGTTGAAATAGTTGAAACAGTCTGCACCAGAAGCCACTCAAGCTGACCAAATACAGGAAGTGACTTTCTGACTAAAGTGGTTTAACTCCAATGTATTATGAGTGAGAATTCAGAAACAGCAGATTAAATTACTGAATAAAAGATATGACAATAATTATGCTTCTTTGGACAATGGAATACATTTCTGTTTGAACTTTCAAAAGGTTATGCTCAAGTGATTATGTGCATCATCATCAAACTAAATTCATGTAACTGCCTTAAAAGGAGGAGATTAAGCAGCTGCAACCGTTAATTTGTAAAAATAAGGAAGTAGAGAATAAGTCCATCAGTGCATTAGCAGTGTTATTTTGTCTGACTCTACTCACCAACATGACTGTTCATCTCAGCTTTCTTCTCATCCTCACTGGACTCACAGGTCAGTCACAGTCACATTTTCCGTGCATTAACATTTAAGCTAGTCCTGTAAAATGATGATGGCATGAGTAATTTGGAAACAATTATGTATAATCTAAAACAACTGCAATAATGCAATAATGTTTAATGGGCAGGTAATATGAAAGAAGAATGTTGTTAGCTATACAATAAAATACTGCATTTGTTCTTGCTGCAGGAGTTCACAGCGTAACCACAGTCAGTAAAGTGTCAGTGAAGGCTGGAGATTCAATCACCATCCCATGTCTCTATGGCTCACAATACACGAACCATGTGAAATACTTGTGTAAAGGATATTACTGGAAATTATGCTTAGTTGAAGCTCAAACAAACCAACCACGTAGTTCAAGAAAGTTTTCAATCTGTGATGACAAAAAACAGAGAATCTTCACTGTGACTATACAAAATCTGACGAATACAGACACTTATTACTGGTGTGTTGTGGAGATGAATGGAGGGGCAGATGATGGACAGAATTTTCACCTGTCAGTCACCACAGGTAAAGCACCTTTAAGCACATTTAAATCCTTTGTGACATTTGAACAATTTGGAGGAAAAACTAAGTTCTCATTGGCAACAGCGACTGATTGTTATTAGGATTCCCACAGTTTTCTCTTGAACTTGTTTTTCCCCAAAGATACACCCAGCCTCTCTGTGGATCATCAGGAGATTACAGGATTTATTGGAGAGAGTATAAACATCAGTTGTTACTATAGAAACTCTGGAGAAAGCGAGTGGTGCAGGCTGGGCATGAACTGTGTGACAGGGTCATCAGGATCAATAGATGGAACAAGTGTGACCATCAGTGCGACAGTCCCCAATGTTTTCACTGTGACTATGAGTGGACTGAAGACAGAGAGCAGCGGCTGGTATTACTGTGTTAAAGGAGAATTACAGATGCCAGTTCATGTCACTGTTACTGAGAAACCTACTACCAGTAAGTACTCTAAATAAACTAAAAAGTATACATATAAAAGTATTCAGTGATAAATATTTGTGATTAGTTACAGCCATCCGACATGTTTTGATTTAATTCTGTTATTAGCAACAAGAAATCATAAACACTTGTAAAGTTAAGCAACCTCTTAATTGAATGCTAATATGAAATTGATGTTTGAGTTCATTATTGTGGTATTCCCTCTGGTAGTGAGCAAAGATCCCTCCACAGTTCAACAGAACAGGTCAGAAGCCTTCACATTAACATACAACATTTAGAACATTGCCATTTTATGATTTAAAGAAAAAAAAACATTTAGGGAATATAAGGGAATCTCTTTCTTAAAGACATTAGATGAGATGTTGATATTAATTGTATGAACTCAGTATTTTCTAAAACTATTACAGTATAAGCAAGATGAGCAGACTTCAGACAACATTGTAGGACTTTTTTAACAATAGAATTCTCTTTATCTTACCTTATTTGCATTGTGTGCTTTAAATTTATGCTGCAGTCTTTCCATTCACCTAAAGAGTTTTATCATCCGTCTGAGCTTGTTGACCTTCATTGTTATTGTGGGCTTGTTCATCTGGTTTATGTTCAAAAGATACAGTAAGTCTATGCTTAATCAAATTCATGTCCAACATTCCAGTTATTCTCACATATTTTGTTAGAAATGAAGATTAATGTATATATATATATATATATTTTTTTTTTTTTTTACTGTTTCTTGTTTAGAACGAACCAAAGCAGATTCAACCACAGCAAAAGTAAGATATGCTGTACAGTAAGATAAATGATGATGAAGATACAATATAGATACTTTTAACAATAGATATTTTGTACAGGTATAGGACAGGTATTGTTAATAAAATGATGGCTCAATTCCATTTAACAATAATGACATTAAATGACCCTTGCTCACTATATTCACAAAGGTGATGATTATCATGAAATCTACTCTAACTGTGCTCCATTGTAAATGACATTTGCTTTGCTCCTTCAACACAGGCTGAAGAGGACTTGAGACACAGTAATGCTGAGGAATACAGTAAAGAGGTAACCCTAAATGTACACTAAAGTGCACATAGGCTATTCAAATGTAATCTTATTTGAGCATCCACACTACTAACCAAATTAAACCGATTTGAAATTAATAAAAAGCAGAAACCTATATCCCTGCTTCTCTTTTCTTACCTACAGGTTAAAGGCAGGGAGTGATGTACAAAGAACATAAAGTTGTGTGATTAAAGCAACAGACAAACGGTAAATATTAGCCCATTTGGCTTCTGTTCTCACCAAGTCAAAATGCTGTTCTTTTACTGAGTAACTGAATTTTGCAAAAACTTGCATAATTTTTGTCGTGTATAGTGACTTTGCTTTTCCTTCCTCATTGTTCTTTCTTTTGTTTCTTCAACAGATTGAAAAGACAAGGGTGTTGTGGTTTTTTGGGTTTTTTTTCACCATCACCATGCTTTTATATCCACCTCAGCTGCACTGAAGCAATATATAGTGTTCTCTGTTCCTCTCTTCTCCTTCTTTTCTATAATCCTGATTTATATAATTCATAAAAATAAACTCATATTGTCTACTTGCATATGTTTTCATTCAATTGAAAGTTAATTCATGTTTATATTACATGTTATTGTTGTTATATTGTTATATTATATATTACATATTATATTACTACTGCAACATGTCAGCATTCTTGGAAACTGCTGTTTACTGTTGAAATTTTGGGTCCACTGACTTTGCACCAACTATAGATTATTGGGAAACCTAATTTTAAACTGTGGCTAGTGAAGATTAAACAACTCTTAAGTGGTGTTAAAGCACAACCACATTTTAAAGTTTTTTTAAGAAACGGGTACTGTTCGGCCATATTAAATAAATACAATCATTATTTTCTCCTTTAAGGTATATGGCACATAACAAGTAACTCACCTGACACCATGACAACCAGCACTTTTTCTTTTCTTTTTTTTTTTTTTTATTGAAAAGTGTAAAGTTACAAAATATATCAGCATGACACATACAATGAACAAACAAACAGGCATCACAACCCTGACAACCAGCACCATGACGCACGCAACCATAGTATGACGTAAAAACATTTCTACTCAGGCACATTCGTGGCCGCCCTGGGTCCTGCGCCGGGGGTGTGATAGGTCTGGCTTTCGTTGCAGTGCAGTCTCCTTCAGCTCGCCCTCCAACTGGTGACGCCTGCTTCGGCCGTGTGGTGTGAGGAACATCTCTCTTAAAGTCACTTTAGTTTACCACTAGCCCCGTCTCCTCCTGGTAAGAGAACCATTTATTCAGTCTGACACTGTTAATGTACTCAATAACAAGCAAGAATCGGTGTTCGAGCGTGCTTTAAACACACCGGTACTCTGCAGGCTACTACTGGAAGCTAAGCTAGCTACAGTCGGCATGCTACGTCTGACACATGTCAAGTTAAAACAAGGCAACTCTGCATCATATAATATGTTCATATGCTGCTGAGAAAGCAGCTTGTGTTTTAGTTAGTTACTCTAGGAAAATATTAACAATTTAATACATTTATGTGGGTGAACTTTTCGTTAACGTGCCTAAGGCCTAGTTAGCAGTAGTAAGCTGCTAATGCGAGTGAACTGGTTGATTAACACATCCTGCTAATTGGCACCGGCATGTGCCCTGCCACGCCTGGCTGTGCCTGCCAATTCACGTGAAGGAGTGGTTTTAATAAGAGCCAGGCCTGATCTGAGCACACACCGGTGCGGCAAAATGGCTCCTGTTTCACTCAGTAACCTTGTCCATCGGCTGTCAGACTCTTGTCATGTCTGTGACTACCTGCAGCACTGTAACGCTATGGCTGTGCCTGGGGTATTAAATGAAAGTGAAATCAACTTTCTGATTGTCGATTTGACATGAGTGTACATCAGCCCTTCCGCCCTCAACTTGATAAAATTAAACTGATCCCATATCAGATGAAGGGGGTTTGACAGTGTGCAGCAAAGACTGTATTTCCCACAGTTTATAGTATGAGCTGATCAGCACAGGAGACACAGATCAGTGTGCACTGCTAGAAAGACTATCAGGTTATCAGAAGGATGGTACTAGAGAGACATGGGTTATAAATGTCAAACCCACTCGTGCAAGGCCTACTGTAGCTTTCCACTCAACAGATGTGGATTAAATGCATGTTCTATATAAGCATGTATTCTACACAAATCTAAGATTAAGAAGTATATAGCCTGACAACAAATTTATACCGATTGTGCACAAAAAATTGTCACAATATGTTCATAGCTTTATGGCTTTTATATACTCCAACCTCACAATACAATACTTGAGGGCATAAGTGGTGCATTTATAAGAAACAATAATACCTTACGCTTAAGCCCAAATATTGGTGCTCGTTATGTCATACAAAGACACTTGACTAGTAGCTTGGTACTTAACAGGTTCACTGGCAGCTAGCATTTGCTTCTGTTTAATCAGTGTTATTCATACAATAACAGTTAGTACAGAACTGTTAAATTGATTTATTGAATTCTGGTAAAATTATTGTGTATAATTTTTTTTTAGCCCACATAATGAATCTTAGGTTTCTTTAAAATTGGACACAGACAGGTGGAAATGTACTTTAGGTGAGAAGAATAATTTTAGCATTTTATTTTGCTTCTGTCTACAGATACAATGGATGTGCCTCCCTCATATGGTGACCTGGGCAAGTCTGCCAAAGACATCTTCAACAAAGGCTATGGTATGGTTTCATATGGTTAAAAGTAGTGCTGTGATGTTTTAGTTTTTCTTCTTCCAAGCCTAGATGATATTGTTGACAAACTCTGAAATATTTTTACTTTACAATTCCTCTCTTCAGGATTTGGCCTGGTGAAGCTCGATGTCAAGACAAAGTCAGCCAGTGGAGTGGTATGGTCATTTCTTTGTGTTTTCAGAATAGATAACTAGAACTTACATCATAGTTTACAGCAAATTATGTTTATGACATTTCCTGGCTCCGCTTTGGAAGGACTTTATGGCCAATGTCAGCCATAAAGGTAACAAGTTGGCACCCAGAATGAAGTCCATTCACAAGAAATGTACCAGTCTTGATTTTTAACAACAATCAACCATGTAGATTATAACAACTTCAAGTAAGGATTCATTTTATTAACAAATACTCCATCCATTTTTGGTTTTAATCATTCATTTTTTCTCTAAATATCCTTCAAAATTTCCTAAAGCCCAAGGTGGCATTAAACTGCTTGTTTTGTCTGACGAACAGTCCTAAGTCCAGTGGTAATCAATTTACAGTGAGGTGCACAGCCACATTTGACAAGCTGAAACCTTTTAACTGTGGCTTCTTGAATCACCTAATCAAACCTCAGAAATGCTAATTTCCTTTCTGTCAATGACCAAGTTGTTTCAGCTCTCTAGATTCCTCACATCTTTTTGATTATTAGGTTTCAGTGCAAGGAAATAGTAATAGCCCAGCCAAGGTTTGACTGACTGCCAAATATAATGAGAGCACTGAATGAGTCTCTTTTCATTCAATAATATGTTGCTTAACTAGAAGATTTTTTGAGTGTTTGTCATCTCTCTAAAATTGTCTCTTGCAGGAATTCAAAACATCTGGTTCCTCCAACACTGATACCAGCAAAGTTGCAGGTAGCCTGGAAACTAAATACAAGAGGTCAGAATACGGTCTGACTTTCACTGAGAAGTGGAACACTGACAACACCTTGGGAACAGAAATCACTGTTGAAGATCAGGTTAGGAAAAGATTTACACATTTTCTGCACCTGTTATTTAACAGGTGTTTACACATTGCACATGACAGGACAACATTCAGTGCTTTAAATGTCAAATGGGCTGTGTTCTCTGTTTCTCACAGATTGCCAAGGGACTGAAGTTGACTTTTGACACAACCTTCTCACCAAACACTGGGTAAGATCACAGTGATAGTTTATTAATAAAAGTTGGTTTCATATGAATTTTACTTGAACTCTTAACAAATGTCGCCTGCCCTGCCTATTGCCTCACCAGACGAGTCATTTTGGCAACCTGATCTGTGCTGCACATGCTTCTGACAAGTGTAGTTGCCGGCCATGTGACCCCAGTCCCAGTATGCAATTAGTCTGTTATAGCACATTACTGTGACTGGCTGTTGGGTTTTGCACATTTGTTTGCTTAAATGATGTATTGCAGTTTGTTGTTCTCAGGGAGGAATTGCAGAAACAAGTTGTACCAGTGTGCCCATGAGGAATCGCATAAGAAATATGGCACATGGCCCAGAGGATGCATGTCCTCTTTCATATTGAGTGCTAGGAAGTTTGTGAGGGTGGAGTTGTGTGGTTACATTGAGACAGCATGTTCAAGTCTGTAGTGTCATTCTCAGACTTTGAAATAAACACCAGTAGCAAGCCAACTGCTGGTTTAAAAGTGGGCCTATGTGTAGAATTATCTCTGGAGGATTGTAAATATATGGCAGTGGTTCCTAAAGTGCGTGCCGCTACATCCTGGCGTGCCTTGAGGATGGGCCATGAGTGGCCCAAGATTTGTTCATTCATTATTTTTTTTACATCTTGAAACATAGCAAAACAGAAGACACTAATGTCTAAATCAGGTGTGACAGAAACTCACATTGACTGAATTGCATGCAGTTGATGTGCTTTGTGTTGTAATTTGAAGCACCAATAAGATAATTTGTGTTTTATTGTTTTTAGGTAAGACATTATTTAAGATGTTTTATATTTTTATATATATATATATATATATATACATTTTTTTTTTTTTTGCATGAGGTCTACTGTTGAACTAAACTGCAGGAAATGTAACCTGACAAGTTACAAATGCCTTTTTTATTACTATTCTGATGTGAATTGGATTTCAATTTGAGGTTGACCAAAGCCATGTTTCTCATCTACAGCAAGAAGAGTGGCAAAGTTAAGACCGCCTACAAGCGCGAGTACGTTAACTTGGGCTGTGATGTCGACTTCGATTTCGCTGGCCCCACCATCCATGGAGCTGCTGTCGTTGGCTACGAGGGGTGGCTCGCTGGATACCAGATGAGCTTTGACACTGCCAAATCCAAGATGACCCAGAACAACTTCGCCATCGGTTACAAGACAGGAGACTTTCAGCTGCACACCAATGTGTAAGTAGAAAAGCAAACCATCGGCTGCATAAAAAATGATAATGAAACGTTCAAAAGATCAAACACAAAACAAACTGCACAACCCACTGTAGGTTGCT